CAGTCAGGGTACGTGCCTGGGTTGCAGGCCACAGCCCCCAGCAACCGCACATTGATGCTTCTCTCTCTCTCTCTCTCTCTCTCTCTCTCTCTCTCTCTCTCTCTCTCCCCACTTCCCTTCCCTCTCTAAAAATAAATAAAATCTTTAAGGAAAAAAAATCAAAATGCAAAAAGATCTATGAACCACAAAATATCCAAATTTTAAACTAAGTTTTTCAGGACTAACCCTCACCTACTGTCCCTCCACCCAAGTCCACAGGTTCTTTAACAGGAGAAGGAGGTAATCACTCAAGAAAGCTGGTGCACTGCCTTGCGCCTCAGTGAAACCCACAGATCTCGAGAGATCATTCTGAATCCCCCACACAGCCTCCGGGACTGACAGGGTCTTAGCTTTTGCTAATGAATAGGTGTATAATGTTTTGGCTTTGAGGTGTGAAGCCATCTGCTGATTCTAGAGTCTCAGCAGCTTTCCAGGTCATTTCAAGAGGTCATTTTCCAGGAACCTCTTGAAATTTGATATAGCTCCATCTCACCATTGGCTGGCTGTGCTTACACCCAGTGTCCCCTTCACAATTTCACTGCTTGGCAGTCTCAGTGTGGCAGAGGAACCTGACTCACATTTATATCACTCAACAAGGACCCCAGCTCTGTGTTAGTCAAATAAAGATACCAAAGACAGTCTTTGCTGTCAAGGGACCTACAGGGTAACAGGAAAGGTACTCAGGTCAATGTTGCTCAAGGTGAAAGGAATAAACCTGGCAGAGAAGAGGTTCAAAGAAGGCAGCAATGCCACCAAATCGGAGCCATTAGGGGAGGCAGCCTTCAGCTGAGCCTTAGAGTATTTTAAGGGATTGGGGCATGGGGGGATGAGAAGAGTGATGCATTTTAAAATCTTACATTTTTTATATATTTGAGAGAGAGAGATGCCAGGGCCCAGCCTCGGCGGGGTCTCAGGGTCCCCGAAGGATGCACGGCTAAGGCGAAGCGAATGAAGTGAGACACCCGGTGGGGTGAGTGCTGGAGGACAGCCAGGCTTCTTGGGCCCGACTGACTCACTGAGAAAAATCAATCTTTATTTTTATGGGGGGGTTATACAACATTCAGCGCATAGTGTGATTATTAAAACAGAAACAGTGACCATAGAAATAATTTCAAAAAACAGAAGGTTTTACAAATCATTCATGTTAAAAAAATAACCAAAAAGTACAGAAGGTCCCGCAAATCAACCATATTAAACAAAGGTTATTTTGACCAAGAGGGTCATTAATCAGATAGCTAATGAAGCTATACAGGCACAAACTTTCAGGTGTCAATTAGTAACTAGGTATCTATTAAAATTCTAGAAATTGATCTAAATTAAAAGGGTGCAAGGGATAATTTATAGATACATAGAAATCAACTATTATCCATTAAGGTTAAATTTATCTCAGGTAACTAATTTTTTGCCTAGGTTTTTTTATTTATACATCTTGGGGGGGGCATGTTTTGTGTTTGTTTCCATGTATTGAGATTATTATTCTCAACTAGAACTCCTTGCTTCTATACACTCCTGTCCAGGGTATGGGAAGGGGAGTGGCTCTAATAAATCTTAAGCTTTTGAGTGGTGACTCCTTAAGCAACGTTCCTAGCAACAGTCTCCTTCAGCATTCCAGCAGTTGGTCTGCCCATAGTTTAATTTTGTCCTTAACTTCCCAGGTGGGGGAAGCAGGCAACATTAGAGTTGCTAGGGGTCTCTATTCTGTGGTCAGCAAGTCATTTCGAGCAGAATCAGAGGCATTGTGCAGATTTTTTGTTATAACACACAGGTATCCAAAAACCTCACCACCTATTGCTAGCAGGGACAGGCATACAGGAAGAGAGAGACAGGAGATCCGGCCACAGACGCCTCTGCTGTGCCGATGCGTCTCATCCGACCTGACTGAGTCAAAGGTCAGCTGTTGGTCAGCTCCCAACAGAGAGAGAAACATCAATTTGTTGTTCCACTTGTTTATGCATTCATTGGTTGATTCTTGTATGTGCCCTGACCAGGGATCAAATACACAACCCCGGGTATCGAGATAACACTACCTGGCCAGGGCAAGGGTGGGTGCATTTTAAAGAGAAAAGTGTAACAAAAACAAAGAGGAAATGTAAAAGCTTTGTCGAGTTGCTGCCAAAGCGGAAAGCCAGAAAGCTGTGGGCCTGGGACTAGCTAGGGTTTGTTGTTGGGCTTGTGGTGTTTGTCTCATCACAATACAAATAATTTTCAAAAGGTGCTACTGTTGCCTCTTCTCCCTCATCCTTTCACTTAACACTTGCTTCGGGTGAGGAATCTGATTAGCCACGTCCTCCACCCCAGGGCCATTTGCCTTCTACCACTTACCTGACTTCATAAGAGCTTTGGTTTCCCCACTAGAGGAATTTGGATGGAGGGGCCTTCCAATGAAAGTGCTGAGCCTTGAAACTTTTTATCTGCAGATAACAAAGTTGGCTGGGTGAGATGTTTTTGGGGAACAGCCATGTTAACAGCTGTACACTTACCATGTTCTCTGGGCAAATCGCACACCCCTCCCTGCAGCAAGCAGCACAGTTTAAGGCTGCTGCCGTGTCCTGAAAGCCATCGTGGAGGGATGTGGGGTACATACTGTTGCCAGGTCCCTCCTGAGTACAGCTGTGTACCGAGCGTGCCAGGCTGCCCCTGAGATGCCCTGGGGACGCCAGAAGTTTGTGTTCTGACAATGAGCGGCCACCTACGACTTTCATTCTTGCTCAGTGCCCCAAAAGGAACTTCCACCTCCCTCTCCTGCCGTGCTCTCCTTCCACCCTGCTCTGATCGTCCTCCCTGGTAAACCCCTCCTCTCCACAGCCCCAGCTCCTGGGCTGTGGAGCTAACAAACCTCTCCACACCCTCAGCCTTCGCCTCCTGCAGTAACTGACACCTGGCTCCTTCTGCTCAAGGTCTCAGCTTCCCCACAGTGCTCTCCAGGGCAGGCTGTTCATTTTCTCACACTCCACAAGCTCAGGGTCAGGAGGTGGGGTCACCCACCTCCCTACTCCCCATGACCACATCCCCTCCACTCTCTGAGGTTTGAGCCATACCTCAGCCCATGCCCACTTTCCTGCTGGCTACTCCCCTATACACCCAAAACTTTAGCACTGGGCTCACAGTCTTCTCTCCCCCTGACTGCCACCACCATCCCAAGTGATCCTTGCAGTCAACCCATCCCACAGTCTGGGCTCTCTGTCCCTTGGCCTCATCTCCAAAAACTTCACTCCATTTGCTCACACCTTCCCGTGGACAGAAGCTCTTCCTGATCCCAGGAACTCAGGCATTGCACCCCCTTATCACTCTCCCAACCTGCATTCATCCAGTTACTCCCATCACACCAGCGCGGCCTCCTCAGCCTCAGAGCCACTCACTCTTCCACATTCTACCAGCCCTTCGGGCCTCCTGTCTGCCACCCACTCCCAATCCGACTAGAACTGAATGCTGAGTCTCTTCGATCGCTGTTCAACTCCTCAAAATCACAACTGCCTTTCTGAATGAAGCCCAACCTGAACGAGTCCAACAGCCTTCTTTTGGGCAGGTCTCACAGTGGAGTAAAGCACACAGCTTAGGAGATTGGGACCTGCAGGTCAATGGCCACCCACCTCAGCTGGGCGCTCCACCCTGCCAACAGTTTCTCTGTCCTGGGGAGCACAGAGCTCCTCTAATCTAACCCTTCCATTCTCTCCAGTTTCCTGGGGGGGGGGGGGCTGGAGCCACATTTCCTGCTCTCTTCCTCCTGTACGGACAACCTCTCCCCTGTCCCAAAAACTTCCAACAGCCTCTAAACAAGTGAGTGCTCTAGTCTCCCTCACCCGAAAATAAGTAAGTCCTCTCCCTCCAGCACATCTCCCTGCAGCTACTGCCCCATCCCACCCCAACCAGGTGCCTACTCTCCCTGCCTCCACATCCCTACTTCCTTACTCCTGGCCCTGCTGTCATCTAGCTCCTGTCTCCTCCGTCCCACAGCTGCGCTCACAGGGCCACCAGGGGGTACCATTTGGTGTTGTTGACAAGCCGACCCTACTTCTGTCTCCCTGTTTTTGTGACATTACTCTCCTGTTGTCCAGTTGTATCTCATTTCCCTCCTCCCATGAATCCTGAGTTTGGGCCCCTCTAAGCTCTTTTCCAGGCTCTCTGATCCCAGAACTTCAACTCCCACCAAAAGCTAATGCTCACAAATCTCCATCTCCAGACATGTTATTTCAAGTGCCTAGGAGGCTTCACTCAGATGATGCAGGGACTGCTCAGGGTCGACGTGGCCAGAACCAAATTACCTTCCCTTCAACTCGCTTCTCGGTTGTGTCCCTCTTATCTGAGAAAGGCAGCCCCTCCCATTCCATCCCAGAGCAGGCCTGGGTCCAGAATATAAAGATCACTATTTGCTGAATGAATAAATGAATCTTTCATCCTCCCTCATTCTCCACAGCCAATCACCAAGACCTGTCGATTTTACCTCCTATTATAACCCTCTGCTTGTTTTTAAGTTGAGGCTAGCTACCTCCTCTGCATGCTTCGGGAGGCTTCCAGGACCCCTAAACTCCGGCCGGACAAAGACCTTGCTCGGTGTTCCCACGGTCCAAAACTGTCACACACGGCGCGGATCACAACGCACTGCCCGGACGGCCGTGGTCTGGGACACTCCCGCTGCCCTGGGGGCTCCGTCTCCATAAACGCACAAGGCCCAGCACCCTGGAGGCGCTCCGTAAGCGCTAAATGGAGAGAGTGAAGAGTGAACGAAAGCGGTCACAGCGAGCAGCAGCCACTGAGCCCAGCGCCCCTCGCGGGGGGGCTGTGAGAGGCCAGGCCCGCGGCGGTCTCCCGTGGCACACCCCTCCGTCCTCACTCCGCAAGGGGCCACGAGAAGCCCCTCCCCTGCTCGGCTCACACGCCGTCTCTGGCGAGCCAATGGACTCGCGCTTCTCCTCAGCAGCCAATGGAAGCGGCTGGCGTAGCAACCAAGAGGGGCGGGGCGAGTGGCAGGGTCGCTGGGTGACAGAACCGCGCGCGTGCTCAGGCCTTCTTCCCACGTCTGCGGCCCAGGCGAGTGCATCCTCGGCCCCTACCTGCCCAGCCAACGGATAATGGGGATTCTGGGCGCCCGGCGCAGCCTGGAGTGGCTGCTGGGCTTCTACTTCCTCTCCCACGTCGCCATCACCCTGCTGTTCGATCTGCAGACCGTGCTGCCGCGCGATATCTACCCCATCCAGGTAAGGGCGCCGGTCAGTCCTGGCCGCGGGTCGCCGAGTCTGGGACCCGTCTGTGCGCTGCGTTGTGCCCAGCCTCCCACGACTTCTCTGCCCTCGTTCCAGTTCTGCCTCCCTTACCCTCCTTCCTTCTTTAGGTCCTGCCAGTGCTCCGGGCCTTTCCTTACCCTTCAATTCGACATCTTCCTCGGGGTTCTCTTTGTATATCTCAGGCTCTTCCCCCAAGTTGCTGGCGGCAAACACTTTGTTCCTTATAAACCCAGTGGTTTCCCGGTATGTTTACCTCAGGTCATTTGTCAGCAAACCCGCAACCTAGGTATGTGCCCTGATTGGGGATCAAACCTGTAACCTTTTGGTGTATGGGACGATGCTCCAACCTACTGAACCACCCAGCCAGGGCACATCTGCAAATTCTGTTTTGCCAAGTAAAGTAACATTTACAGGTTCTAGGGATTAGGGCGTGGATATTTTAGGGAGGCATTATTCAATCTACCACACAGGCCCAGGTAGTAATACACACTCTTCCTCAACATGTCATCAAAGCTCCGCATTAGCCATTAGTTGCCTTGAAGAAAGGAGAGCCACGTCTGGTTTTCAAAGTCTGTGTGGCCAACAGAACTCAGGCCAGCGGCCTGTTTACAATCTGTGATGTTAAGAGTCCTTTTAATATTAGACAAATATGTTACTCCAGATTATTCCAGACTCAACAGCTGTTGGTTTCTTTATCCTTTCTGAACGTCCCATTCCCACAAGTCCTTGCTCGCCACTCACAAAAAACAATTAAAATGTGTCCAGCATAACGACCCAATTTATATATTTCTCAGCCTTATTTAATGTTGACTTATTGCAAAAGGTGAAGGGCCAGTGCAGGTAGGATCTGGCCAGAAACCCTGTGCGTGCGTGTGTGTGTGTGTGTGTGTGTGTATATCTTAGTGTCCGATGCTGTTTTGAAGGCATTTGAAACATGAACATCCTGGCTTGGAAGGCCTGTTGTTTCTAGTCGTTCTTGCTCTGGGGCGGTGAGTGATACTTTAGTTGCTTCTTTTTGGGTAAAATAGTAATAATGATACTATAGCCTTCAGTTATTCTCAGATTCTCCTTGAAAATATGCCAAAAATCAACATCTGGTTTTTTTTCTCCTTAAACAGAAGGAATTTTTCCCTTGAACTAAAATGCCCACATCTTTGGGCTAACATTTGCAAATTAAATCTTTCTTGGTTTGAATCAGAGCAACACTTAGAAAAACTATAATGAAACAGGAAGAATTAGTTTGGATTACAACAGCGATTTTCAACCAGTGTGCCACAAAAGTTAAAAAAATATATTTTTTTTAGCTCTGGCTGGTGAGGCTCAGTGGATTGAATGCCAGCCTGCAAACTGAAAGGTTGCTGGTTCAATTACCACTTGGGGCACATGCCTGGGTTGTGAGTCAGGTCCCCAGTTGAGGGCGTGTGAGAAGACACCGATGTATCTCTCGCACATCAATGTGTCTCTCTCCCTCCCCTTGCTCTAAAGGTAAATAAAATCTTTAAGAATTTTTCATTGATTTTTGAGAGAGAGAAACATTGATATGTTGTTCCACTTATTAATGTATTCAATTGGTTGATTCTCATATGTGCCCTGACTGGAGATCGAACCCATAACCTTCATGTATTGGGATGACTCTCTAACCAATTGAACTACCTGGCCAGGGCCAAAAAATTTTAAAATGTGCAATACCAAACTAAGTCAGTCAGGGGCACAGACCTCTTTTCCTTTAGACTGTCAAATAAATAACAACAGCCCTGGCTGGTATTGCTCAGTGGATTCAGTGTAGGCCTGCGAACTGAAAGGTTGCCAGTTCGATTCCCAGTCAGGGCACATGCCTGGGTTGCAGGCCAGGTCCCCAGTTAGGGATGTGTGAGAGGCAACCGATTGATGTTTTTCTCCTTCCTTCTGCCTCCCTTCCCCTCTCCCTAAAAATAAATAAATAAAATCTTATTTAAAAACCAACTATTTTTTTTGTCAGTTAGCAGAAAATGTATCTTTTTAGTGCACCGCCGAATTGTAGTCATTAGTTTATGTATGACATGAGATGAAAAAGGTAGAAAATCGCTGGATTAGAACTTGGGGGAGATGGGAAGCATTTTGTAGTATCATTTGAGGCTGGGTAGCATTGCTTCTCTTAAAATAAGGCAAACAGGCAGCATCTGGGTCTGAAATCAGTCTGTGCTCTCATTCTGAGTTAGAGAAGTGCAAAATTGTTCAGCAGCTCCTGGTTTAGAATCCCAGGAACACAGGCCCAGCTGAATATTTTTAATGGATAACAATGCTAAGTTGAGTTCAATGTGACTCAGGTATAAATGGAAACAGTTTTATTACCTTTTGGGGGGTCTTATTATCTAATAAGAAAAGTTCTTGCCCTGGCTGGTCTGGCTGTGTGGATTGAGCATGGGCCTACGAAACAAAAGCTTTCTGATTCAGTTCCCAGTCAGGGCACATGCCTGGGTTGTGGGCCATGTTCCCTGTTGGAGGCATGCAAAAGGCAACCGATTGATGTTTCACTCTCACATAGATGTTTCTCTCCCTCTTTTTCCCTCCTTCTGCTCTTTCTAAAAGAAATAAAATCTTCAAAGAAAATATTTCTTATTAATGACCAGTTGCATGCCAAGATGTTAATAGGATTAAACTTGAACCTCTCCAAATATATATTAATTACAGTCAATTTCATAATCTTTACGTGCTAGTCATTGTTCTAGAGACTGTATGTATTAACTCGTTTTATCTTGCCAACAGTGCAGTAGGTACTGTGATTGGAGTGGAACCAAACTTGGTGAGATTAAGTGCTCTGCCTGGAGCCAGCACACCCATCCAGGCGCTCTGCCACCGGGGCCCACGCTCTTCTTCACTCTGCTAAGGGCCTGTGCCTTGCCTTCCACCAGCCTTCCTTCTGGCATCAGGTGGCTGTCAGGAGACAGTGGGCAGCTGGTTGTGTTCGAACTGATTACAAGAACAGGCTGATTATTTTAAATTTTGCTAATCTCATCATATTGCCTTTAGAAATTACAGCACTGTATAAATCTACCTGGATTTATGAAATAGGAGGACCAGAGAGACTGTATACAAATTGAATAGAAAATGAAGTTGACATGAACCAGAAAGCCTTTTAAATCCTGCAGTAAATCTTTTAAAGTAAATCTAGAAAGAAAAAAATCTTAAAAAAACACTTAATCCAAGTTGCTTGTTTTACAGGTGAGGAAATAGAGCCCAGGAGAGGTGCAGTGACCTAACCTTTATGCATATTTTCTACCACATTACTGCCCTGAAAAGTGCTTAGAAGGAAGCTAAGGGTATTGCCGTAAATTTAAATTTCAAGTCAAGTACAAATTAAGAACTCACTTGGTCAATACATTGGTTATCCAGCCAGAGCCTTTTTGAAGTTCATATGCTAACAGAATGTTTGTCTCTGGGTATTTGCTTAAAGCTCACTCACAGCAGTGAGGCCTCTATTTAACAACATCGAGCCTTTATCTTTTGATTAAAAATTAACAGGAAAAGTATCTTTGTATTTTCCATTGTAAGCTTAATTTTTACTTTGGAAGTTACCTTTATTTATCATAATATAAAGACATATTTGGCTTTGAAGGCAGGTGTGTTGAGATAGTGACATTTCCAGAAGGTTCAATGCAACAGACCTTCGTGTGGGGATTCCTGGGCTTTGTCTAGGCTCCTTAAAAAGCCTCAAACCAGCCCTGGCTGGTGTAGCTCAGTGGATTGAGCTTGGACTGTGAACCAAAGCGTTGCAGGTTCAATTCCCAGTCAGGGCACATGCCTGGGTTGCAGGCCATGGCCCCCAGCAACTGCACATTGATGTTTCTCTCTCTTTCTTTTTCTCCCTCCCTTCCCTCTCTAAAAAATAAATAAAATCTTAAAAAAAAAAAGCCTCAAACCCTCTTACTTTCTCTCTCCACCTGTAGCCAGGTCAGCATGGATCTGTATCTTTTGATTTGACAGCATAATTATGAGGGTGGGGCCCAAGCTAGAATTAAGACTGCTATCTCAAGCTTTGACATAGCCTAGAAGCTATATAGTTTGTGGTTTGGGGCAGAGCTTGTTCTACAAATATCCTACAGGTTTCCTAAAAGGGAAAAAAAAAAAAAACTTGAGAACTAGGGAGTTAAGAACAATAAAGAACTTGAGGTTTTGGGATTATTTAAATTGTCTAAAATTGGCCCTGGCTGGTGTGGCTCAGTGGATTGGGTGCCAGCCTGCAAACTAAAGAGTCACTGATTCAATTTCCAGTCAGGACACATGCCTGGGTTGCGGGCTGGGTCCCCGGGGGGTGTGGGGGGGGGCGCATGAGAGACAATCACACATTGCTGTTTCTCTCCCTCTTTAAAAAATAAAAATTAAAAAATAAATATTGTCTAAAATTGCTTCTTCACAGAGGTTCGATTTATTGTACCTCCTTTCCGTCACTACCACCCACCCACAGTCAAATTCAGTTCATTTCTGTAGTTGAGGCAGTCCTCAAAGCTCAGTGTGCAGGTCAGCAGGTCAGTGTGCAGGCAGCCCTCAAAGCTCAGTGTGCAGGTCAGTTGCTCTTGTGAAAGGGCAAATGTCAGGGTAGTTTTGTCACACTTCTTTATAAAGAATGATATTGTTAGCAGACGTGTCATGTTTGTGTGTTCATTCAGCAAACCAAGAGCCTACTTTTTTTTTTAAGATTTTATTTATTTCCAGAGAGAGGAGAAGGGAGGGAGGGAGAGAGGGTGAGAAACATCAGTGTGTGGTTGCCTGTTATGCGCCCAGTACTGAGGACCTGACCTGCAACCCAGGCATGTGCCCTGAATGGGAATCAAACCAGTGACCTTTTGGCTTACAAGCTGGCACTCAATCCACTGAGCCACACCAGCCAGGACCAAAGAGCCTACTCTTAAGTGCCAGATATTGCTTTTGACAATGGGCAACACATTTGGATAAGGGTTATCATGGAGTCACAAATGCTGGGTAGCACAAAGGAGCTGGAAGAGCTGAGGAAAGCTTGGAGAAGCTACCATTTGAGTTAGATCTAGTCAGTTTTTATTTGTTTACTTATTTATTTTTAGAGAGAGGGGAAGGGAAGGAGAAAGAGCACAAGGGAAACATCAATGCGTGATTGCCTCTTGTACACCCCCAAATGGGGACCTAGCCTGCAACCCAGGCCCGTGCCCTGACTGGGAATTGAACTGGCGACCCTGAGGTTCGCAGGTCAGCACTCAGTCCACTGAGCCACATCAGCCATGGCTTGAGTTTTTATTAAATGACCATCTTGGCTACATCTCAAAAGCCAGCTGGATATACCATCTGCTACCAAGGGGGTTGGGTAATGAGACTCTTCTAGTGGGTTGGAGCTGCTGAGCCTATCCCTGCCAAGTGGTTGTGTTCATTGTGATCTTTATCTTTTCCCAGTTGAGAAACCTGCTGAAGTGGTACACCCAAGAGTTCAAAGACCCTCTGCTACAGTACCCCCCAATATGGTTTAAATCCTTCCTGTTTTGCGAGCTTGTGTTTCAGCTGCCTTTCTTCCCCATTGCAACATACGCCTTCTTCAAAGGTTGGTAAATGGTGGGGAAACCCCATTTTTGCTCTGAAATCAGGTCCCAGAAATCTTATGGGAAAATTATCTCCCAGGGAGAGAGGAGTGGTCCTGTAGTTTGTGTGAGGGTGACAGAGGATCTGGTTGGTGGGAATGGCCAGGATAGCTCCTATAAAGGGACTTGAGTGTGGCTCCACTAATGCCTGTGGTCAGCGGGGCTGCATGACTGCCTCAGCCCACTGGGCAGCTCTCGCCCGTGAAACCTGAGAGTACTGAAAGACTGAACATGTTGCTTTTTATTTCTTTTTCTTAATCACTGAATTTATTTTTTATCATTGGTTTTTATTTTTCTGTCTTAGGTAGTATAATAAGCGGTAGCGTCAAGCTGATTCCTAAAAGGCTTAACTGCTTATTTAAAAATTATTCCTACAGTGTCCCCATATGACTGATGCTTTTATAAAGAAGGTGGTCATACTGACGTACGTGGTAACTAAGCTTGTACAGCTTATTTCCCACTGGAGCCTCCCAAACCCGTCTCTTGGCAGCACCTACTGATCTTCTCACCTACATATGCTGTGATTACTTAACAGATGCTGCTGGTGGCACCCTGACCCACACATTTAGACCAAACAGGTTTAACTTTTACTGGCCTAGAGTTTTTCTGAATTAAAGTCCAACCCCCACCCTTGGTTCTCTGGCAGTCAGTGTGCTAGGGCCCCCACCGTCACATGAACTTGCGCAGTTAGGCAGCATTATACCACATCCGGTTTTCCATTTGTTTCCACCTGGAAGAGGAGGTGGAATGATTCAGTTGAAGGGAGCAGGCAGAGACAGCACAGGGAATGTCATGGGCACCCTGCAGTCAAGAGCAGACCTAATGCTTCTTTCTCTCTTCCCCCGACCACTTCAGGAGGCTGCAAGTGGATCCGCACCCCTGCGATCATCTACTCAGTCCACACGATGACAACCCTAATTCCCATTCTCTCCACACTTCTATGGGAAGATTTCTCCAAGACCAGTGCTTTCAAAGGGCAAGGACCTAAGACTTTCCACGAACGACTAGCCCTCATGTGTGTCTATGCCCCCTACTTTCTGATCCCTCTTATGCTTCTGCTTTTCATGTTGCGGAGCCCCTACTACAGGTATGAGGAGAAAAGAAAGAAAAAATGAGAGCGAGAACTACTGGCCCAGCAGAGAGATGCCCACAGGACAGTTTCCTGTTGGACCCAGTACAAGGAAAACTGCTCAGAACCCACGTCTTCAGTAGCATTTGAAACACACCGGCAGCAGGAGCCACATCAAACCATCACCTTCCACGGGCACTGGCACAGACTGATCACCTGAGGGTGGGCAGGGGGTGTGGGCTTGGTAATAGGGAAGTGGGGCCAAGTACTTTACTATGTGCCCGGGTTCCACTGCAGAATTACTAAAAGCATCACCAGACTGGAAACTGGATAAACTTTTAAGAAACACGTCCTGCTCCGCATCTTCGTGCATCACTTGGTCCGCAATATACATGTGACCAATCCCTTGACTCGTGATTCCATTCCATCACTGTTCATTCAGTGAACAGTGGGATGTTTCAGGGCATTTTTAAGTTTGAGATCATGCCTCTTTAATATTCATTAAAAACTATCTTTTTCATGCCCCCACCCTGCAGGGGAGGGCCATGAAAACTTCAGTTTTAAACTTCAGTTTAAACTGAACAGTTTAAACTTCAGTTTTAAACTTCAGTTTAAACTGTTCAGTTTAAACAGGTTTAAACTTCAGTTTTCCTTAAGGTTCAGCCCTGGCATGACTTTCAGTCAATAATGGACAAAATTAGATGTTTTGCTCCTGTCTTAAACAGCATCCGAAGAAGAGAGATTTTTTAAAAGTCTTGTTTATCCTCTTGCCAAACCTTAGTCCTGTATTTTTAGCTGCCACATGACAAAAGTTTCCTTACTCTGAGGGCTGGTGTCTCAAACCCGACCTGAAAGTACTTCCTACTGAGTAACCTCCCGTACGATTCGCTCAATCTCACCTCCCTGTTCCATCTCATCAGAACGGGCCAGCAGGCCTCACGTGTCCAGAATGTGCGCGGAGGGTGTCTTCACATCGGTGCTTGCTGTTCTGTTAGCTTTCTCTAAATTCATACTCAAGGCTAACTCCAAAAAATGAAAATGAAAAATCCTGTCTGGTGTGGCTCAGTGGATTGAGCACTGGACTGCAAGCAAAGGGGCCCAGGTTCATTTCCTAGTCAGGGTGCATGCCTGGGTTATGGGCCAGGTCCCCAGTGGGGGGTTGTGTAGAAGCAACCACACATTGATGTTTCCCTCCCTTTCTTCCTCCCTTCTGCCCTCTCTGAAAATAAAATCTTTTTTAAAAAAATAATAAAATTAAATTAAAAAAAAAAAAAACTTGTGAACACACGTAGACAACAGTAGAAATTGGTCCCAGTTCTGTCTTTGCCTTTCGCTCATACATTATATTGCTCTAATTGTTGGGAGTATCATGTGACTCGTGTCTAGTCCAAATAAAGGTAGCTGCTGACCATTGCCTGGTTTGTTCTGTGGACTAGGGAGGGGCTGGAGTCCAAGGTTCTTTTACAAGGCATTAAGTATACATTTTAAGGGCACCAGGAAAAGAGGTAGATAAGCCATCTGAAAACAATAATTTATTGCTTTTTCTTCCAAAGATTTATGAATTTACAAAAAAAAAATCAACGTTTACAGACCGTTTTTTCAGACAAAGAATGCAAGAGGTGGAAACCTGGGCGCCGTGGTCAGCAGGTGTTCACCAGACATGTACGGGCGTCTGAAATAGGGCCCCCCCCCAATTCATTTCATTGCCTTCAGAGGCGCTGCCCTCCTCACACACCCTCTCGAATGACACACTAGGTCATTAGTCAAAGTCACTGGAATGGTACAGAGGTTTTGGTTTTGGTTTTTTTGCCCTCCTGCTATAAAATGAAATTTTCAGTTCATTTCTGAAAAATGAATTGGTCAATAAATTCATTTTGTTCTGCTTCTACTTTACACAAAGCTTCATATTCAACCCGATACCTGAAAAACAAAATTGTTAGAAGCCCTAAAAATGGATGAAATAAATTGCACTTAACTCTTCTAGAGAAGAATATAGGTGATTTAAATGACTCCAAGAAATGGTGTTAGTTTGGAAGGAAGTAGTCAGGGCAAGCAGAGAGAGAGTTGTATGTGTGAAGCCCTGCACAGGGCCACGCATGATAGACCTTCAGCCCTGACAGCGTCCTTTCAGACAGCCAGCCAACCCCGTGCACACTCACTACTCGGCTTTCATGCTCCCACCTACTACAGGTGTTTTGTTATCAGCACATTTTCTTTCTCCTCCCCATCAAATGTAATTTCATTTTTAAAATCTCCAAATTAGGGCAAGTGACACTGTTGCTGGGAGAAGGATGATAAAGAATGAGGACCAGAGGTGACTGTTAAGAAGGGACAGGAGAACTGCCATTGAGGAGAGACCTCACTTTACCTAACTTACCTTTCGAGCTGCATTTTCTTTTCTGCTATTAGTGCTTGGAGCTGCTGCTGTTGGGCTTCTCTCTGCTTTGCTATAGATTTGAGCAAATTCCGAGCACCAATGGCCTAGAAAAACAGTGTCACAAAGGAGGTCATGGCTTCATTAAAACCACCTTCAGCATTCAGTCCTTGACTGTGTAAGGGCCATTTGGGGGCTATCTCCCTGCCCAGCGGGAAAAGGCTGAGCCCCAGAGCTTGGGAGAAAGAAAGAGGATTAACCTCATGACTCCGAAGTGGGAACTGGCCTGGAGCTCAGAGGCAGATCTAGGAGTGTCCCCAGAGTGTGGCACACAGGTGTTCAGTGGCCCATTTGGTGTGTCACTTAGCTTTGTGTCCTTTGCGAAGTCATCTATACTCCACACACCTTCACTTCTTCATTTATAAAATAAGGATAAAACCATGTATTTCCACGATGATGTCAAGATTAAAGGAAATGATGACCAAAAGTGTACTGGCACGTAAGAGTTCAACAGTAGGCCAGCCGGACTAGGAACTGTTTTTTGGGTTTTTTTTTTAATTGAGGTATAATTGACATGTAATTTTCAGGTATACAACATAATGAGTTAATACTGGTACAGGAAATGCTATTTAAAATCTTGTTTTAATGAAAAGACTCTCCCTTCCCTCCCTCCACACAGAATAGTCAAGGGGGCAGAAGGAAGACGGGCTAGTGACCAGGGCCCCAGGCCAAGGTTCAGCTGAAACACATGCTGATCTTACCTTCATCTTCTCATTTTCTGCTTCTTTTGCAAGTTGATCAACAAGCTCAATTAAACCACCAACTATTTTCTGAAATTGGCCAATTTCTTTCAGGGAAAGAAAAAAATGTTTTTATTTTCTGTGTCATGGCTCTCCCTCAGCAATCCCTTTCAGCGAGATGGCAGAACAAACTGCCCTTTCTAATTTGTGTCAAAGCAATTTGTGCTCATTGGCTAAAACCTGCCACCCTTGGTCTGAACCTGGAGATGAGGAGCCAGGTGTCCAGAGTAGCCTGAGGAATTCCTGGATCTTGAGTCCCCGCTGAGCCAACCGGGTGCTATGACATCAGGCTAAGAAGGCTCCTGGTGGGCTCATTCTGTGGATGGACCCCATCCTACTTTCCCAGGAGTGACAGGAGGCACAAAGGGCCACGTTCACGAAAGGACTTCCTCAGGACAGAAACGCTGCCTCCTGACCAGCCACAGGTACACTAGAGTTTAGTTAATGGTGAGGTGGCAGCTATCCACTCACGACCACAGCTAATGAAGAGCTCAAAGCATTTAAGTGCTTAATCTCTCATTCCCCTTTTTTCAATATCTGTGGATATGGCAGAAGCCCATTCCACTGAGGAGTAAACTAAGGCCCAGCGGGGCTGGCAATAGAATTCATGCTACCTTTCACCAGGGAAGCTGTCTCCACAGCGGAGAGTCCCCAGAAGGCTCAGACATCCCTACTCCAGCTAGAGCTGCTCTATATTCACTGCCACTGGGCTTGCTTGGCTGCTGGAACAGGAGGTATCCTGGGTATCTCCAGTTAAAAAATAACTAAACTCAGTCTGTTGAGCTGCTTCTAGAGACTCCAGTTAATCAACTTTCACTCCCAATACAGATAAGTCTACCACTGAGAATATGATTTCTCCCAAGAAATCAAATCATCAGTACATAACTATTTCCCACCCCCAAGCCATAGTTTTGCCTCCATGAAGTTTAAGGTTCCTAAGAGCAAAAAACTCAAAGATGGCATATCTCAAAAAATACTCTCCTCTCTGCATTTCAGTGTCTGTTTTGACTGGTGCTCTGTGTGGGACTACATGAGAGCATAAGAAGAGGGCACACAGGTAAGGTGGGTGGCACATGGGAATTCACAGAGCCTGGGCTCAACCCCCAGGGAGCCGGCAGCTCCATTCAGGCAGGGCCAAGAGCAACAGTGAGGAGGTCGGGGTGGGGCACAGGTGAAATAGTTCAAAGCTGAGTAGCAACATGCCTCCCCAAGTGATACTCACTGTCTACAAAGTCCTTGCACTCTTCCTTGAGTTCTGTGGTCTGCTGGGTAACCTCTGGGTCCAACACCCGCAGCTTGTTCAGCTCATCAAAGTGCAGCCCTGCTTCACCGAGGATGTCCTTGGCCATTGCTGTAAAGAAACCAATCCCGATCCCTGATCGCTTCCCAGCCACCCAAGAAAATGCCTGCTTCCAGCCCAAGCCCACTCTTGCCCCCAGACACCAATACCAGAAACCCAGATGTTCCAAAGGCTCCCCCCATCCGTCTGCATCCACCTTTCTAAGCCTCACCTGTTTCCCTTCCAGCTTCTCTAGAGAAGGTCTGCTCTGAAGGAAGGACAGTGGCAGCCAGGAGGAGATGTGTCATAGGAGCAAGGGTCAGGAAAGAATAAAGTCCAGTTGCTTGTCACAGGCATCGTTCATTCAACACATATTTCTTGAGTGCCTACTATGTGCCAACTTTGCTAGATGTTGGGGGTACAGAGATGAGTGCAACATGGTACCGGCCCTGGAGAAGCACAGTTTAGCTGGAGGAAGACAGACATGTAAACTGAAAAGTTATACTGTTAAGTGCTTTTACAGAAATATCACTAAAGTGCTAGAAGAGAACGGAGCAGTTAAATTGGGGTGAGGAAGCTGACATTTAAACTAAGTTGTCAGGCAAGCCATAAGCATATTTATTTATCCCGAGTTATATATTCAAAAGGACACAAAGAAGCTTTTCAAATATAGTCCTGTATATTAACACAAAAAGCAAGTAAAAGAAAAAACCAGAGTGAATTAAATATTAGGGTTAAAGAAATAAGAAACTGAGAATATTACCCAAAATGTAGGCCACGGGACTCTACACTTGCCTGAATTGGGACTCAAAGTTGGGTTGGTCTATTTCTAGCCGAAAACACAAAAAGGAATGAACTATCAGCCACAACGTACCAAGCAGGGAAGTCAGGGGAGGCATCCCAGGCAGACCGGACAGCCTGAACAGAGCCTGAAGCCACTGAAAGGGCCTATCCTGCCTAGACAATGAAAGGACAAAGGATGGCCCCTGGCTGGTGTGGCTCAGTGGACTGATATCTGGATTTATATATTGAATCTGATGGTTAAGGAAAGTATCCAATTGAAAAATTTTTTTAATATATTTTATTGATTATGCTATTACATTTGTCCCATTTCCCCCCTTCCCTCCCCTCCACCCTGTACCCCCTCTCCCACCCACGTTCCCCCCCTTTAGTTCACGTCCATGTGCCATTCTTATGAGTTCTTTAGCTTCTACCCTTCCCGTACTATTCTTGCCCTCCCCCTATCTATTTTAACCTACATTCTATGCTACTTATTCTCTATACCTTTTCCCCCCCTCCCCTCCTCCCACCCCCCCGTTGCTAGCCCTCCATGTGCCCTCCATTTCTGTGGTTCTGTTCCTGTTCTACTTGTTTACTTAGTTTCTTTTGGTTTTGCTTTAGGTGTGGTTGTTAATAATTGTGAGTTTGCTGTCCTTTTACTATACATGTCTTTTTCTTTATCTTCTTTTCTTAGATAAGTCCCTTTAGCATTTCATAAAATAAGGGCTTGGTGATGATGAACTCCTTTAATTTGACCTTATCTGAAAAGCACTTTATCTTCCCTTCCATTCTAAATGAGAGCTTTGCTGGATAGAGCAATCTGGGATGTAGGTCCTTGTCTTTCATGACTTGGAATATTTCTTTCCAGCCCCTTCTTGCCTGTAAGGTCTCTTTGGAGAAATCAGCTGACAGTCTGATGGGAACTCCTTTGTAGGTGACTGTCCCCTTATCTCTTGCTGCTTCTAGGATTCTCTCCTTCGTTTTTACCTTGGCTAATGTAATTATGATGTGCCTTGGTGTGTTTCTTCTTGGGTCCAACTTCTTTGGGGCTCTCTGAGCTTCTTGGATTTCTTGGAAGACTGTTTCCTTTGCCAGATTGGGGAAGTTCTCCTTTATTATTTGTTCAAATAACTTTTCCACTTGTTGCTCCTCCCCTTCTAGTACCCCTATAATTCGAATGTTGGAAGGTTTAAAGGTGTCCTGGATGCTCCCAAGGCTCTCCTCGATTTTTTGAATTCTTATTTCATCATGCTTTCCTGCTTGGTTGATTCTATCTTCCCTCTGGTCCACTGTATTGAGACTCAGATTCCTTCCTTTCTCTATTGGCTCTCCTCCGCGTATCTTCCTGCATCTCTTTTATGGTAACCTGCATCCTTTCATCTAAATTGCGCCCAAAATCAACCAATTCCGTGAGCTTTCTGATCACCAGCGTTTTGAACTGTGCATCTGATAGATTGGCTATTTCTTGGTGGCTCAAAAGGATGAGTCCTGGGGGACTGATCTGCTCTGTTGTACACATGTCTTATGTCTTTCCCTGTTTCTCCTATTTTTTTTTTCCGGTCTGGTCGCTCTTGTTACAGTGGGGGGCAGAGCCTTAGGTGTTCACTGGGGCTGGGCGCCCCAGTTGCTAGATTGTGACATTATATGTGGGGGGCGGGGGCGGGGGCGGGAGCGAGGATAGGAGGGAATCAATGGCGGCAGTTCAGTTCTCCTGGGCCCAGACCCTTCCCCAGGCTCCTGGGCTGCAAGCTCTGCCCTGGTCCACAATCGCTGCCCCACTGGGTTCGGCAGCCGCAGCTTGCGTACTCAGGGATCACCGCTGCATTCTTGCGCCCCGATGGCTGTCTCCCCGATTCCGCACCAAACTTTCCCCAACCTCCGCGCGCCGCCGACCCGCGCCAGCCCCGTGCCCGCTCGGCTCGTCGTCTCCTACCAGTCTGGATGAACGGGTCTACTTCAACTTCTTGGCTGTCCAACTTCCATCCAGATAAATCCTCTATCAGTTCTGTGTGTTATGCTGACCGTACTTTATTGTTGTTCTAATCTTGGTTGTGCCGAAAATTTTAAAGTAAGGGAAAAAACACATCCAACTGTGTGGGGGCTAACTAATGCATGTCTACAGGCTGCGTGTGTACGACCACGGCCCAGAGGCTTCGGCCTCCCTGGAATCCACTGAAGTAAGTAGGCTAGCATCTTCCTCTTGAAACATTTTAAGCCTCCAGAGCTCCTTATAATCAGGCTTTTCCCCCTCCAAGTACTAACCAGGCCCAACCCTGCTTAGTTTAGGAGATCAGGCCCATTCAGGGTTGTATGGCCGTGGATTAATCAGGATTAGAAAAAGATTTGTTTTCCAGTTTGTTACATGTACAGGTATAGTCTGAGCATTTAACACCTATTGGGCCATTAATTAGACCAAATGCTCTATGAAGTTTCAAGTAACCTGAGGGAGCAAACACCTTCTTCAACTTTCACTCTGTTCCCTGAGAGCATGTATTTATTCAGAAACCTGCTCTGGCCCTGGTTGGTCAGTGAATTGAGCATTGGCCTGTGAACCTAAGGGTCACCGGTTCGATTCCCAATCAGGGCATATGCCTTGGTTGCAGGTCCCCGGTTGGGGGTACTCAAGAAGCAACCACACATTGCTGTTTCTCTCCCTCTCTTTCTCCCTCTCTTCTTTTCTGTAAAAACAAATAAATAAAATATTTTAAAAAATAAAAAGAAAGAATGGAGTTCCCCTCCCACATTAAAAAAGAGAGAGAGAAAGAAAGAAACCTGCTCTGGAGATAGAGTAATGAAGAAAATGCTTTGACACTTCAGTTCTTGACCAGCACACAGAGAGTCACAAATTGGGGTAACAGTATGAGGAAAAGCTCATGGTGCTAGATGAAACTGCAGCAGAAGGACATAATTCTGATGGGGACGGGGATGTCAGCAAAAAGCAGAAGTGACACTTAAGCTGAAACCTAAAAGATGTCCAAAAGTTTGCCAAGTGAAGCGGGGAGGAAGCATTCCAGGCAGAAAGAAAAGCATGTGTGAATATTCTGAGGCTGTAACTAATTAAACGCACCACAAGAACCGAAACGCTAATGCGGCGGAAACAGTGAACATGCGTGGGGGTGCTTCAGGGACAATGAGGCTAGACCCGGAGGCTAGAGCTAGCTGGATCAGGAAGGGCCCTGAAAGATGTAGTACTGAGCCTGGATTTGTCAGAGCAGTAATGGGCAGCAGTGGATTCTCAGCAGAGTGACATAATCAGATCTGTCTTTTAGAGAGATCATGCTGACCCAGGATGGAGAATGGTTTGGAAAAAACACAGGGTGGGGCTACCCCTATCTTGTTCATCACTGTAACCCTACCATCTAGCATGGGATCTGAACATAACTGGCACTCAGTAATTGCTTGTGGAATGAATGACTGTGAAAACAGAGGAGGTTATTACAGTAACCAAGGCTTAGGGCTGCAGAAAAGTTTTCCAATTTGAGATGTTTTGTAAGTCAGTTGTTAGGACTTAGTGAAGAATTAACTGAATGTAGTAGGGGTTTGGTGATGAGCGAAGGAAAGAATCAGACAAGATTCCCATGTTTCTGGCTTGAGACAACTGTATGGTTGAATGAGATGGATTAGACCAGAGAAGGAGTGGAGGGGGTTCCCAGCTGACTATCAGATTCTATCCCAGCTACCCCCACACTCGAGCCTGCGCACCAGAGAAACACCGGGTACAAAAGCCAGACTGAGCTCCCTGGAGATGAGGGCAGTGACACTCTCTCCGCCCCTGGCTCTCCCAGATCCACGCTAGGTACTTGGGCAGGCTCCATCGATAGAGGGTGGGGACTGGCACTAGACCGGAAGTTAGGGAGATGTGGGTGATGGAACTGGCTGTCTTCACTAGGTAAACTCCTTGAACTGATCTGAGTAGTTTCCTAAGATCGTTGCGAGCATCAACGCGTCAAGTTCCAGGCCCAAACTGCGTGTAATACTGCTCCCAAAGAGTCGGGCGAAATTTCCCTGTTTCTGGAACTGCCTTTCCTTGGAGCGCGGGCCTGTCCGGTACATCTCGCCCCGGGTCCGCCCGCGTCCCCCGACCCGAGTCACGGCCTACCTTTCGACCCCGTAGCGGCAGCGGGCTGCCCGGACTGATGTCGGCAGGTAGCTTCTCTTTCCGACAGCTGGACTTGGCCAGCCAGACTCAGCCGCTGCCACGGATACAGGACCTGTTTACACAGAACGTCACTACTCGACACCGGAAGTATTTACACCCGACTAATCTGCAGAGCCTGCTGGGAAACAAAGTCTGGAGAAGACGACCGGTTGCCTACAAAATCCAAAGGCTTTTGCCTCGGAAAAGCTTCCGGAAGTAGTCGAGTGCTCCCTGCGAAATAAGGGCTGTTTCCTGTGGCCTGATTGGGTGCTGGGCATGCCGGGCCTTATGGTCTCAGGCTCCTGGGCCCGCCCAGCTGGGCGGCCACTCCAGGCGGAGTCCGCAGTGGAAGGATGTGATTTCACAGCCTGGGATTGCGGTCGGACAGGCGGCTACAGCCTAGGGGCGGTAAAGTGTGGGCCTACAACCCACCTGAGAAGAGAGGCGGCGCAGGGACGGTGAGAATCGGGCCTGCCGATACTCTCGGGGATGGGGTGGACGGGCCCCGGGCTGGAGCAAAGGGAGCCCAACCTGGTCCTTGGGAAACGGCGTGGACAGCGAATGGGAGATGGAGAGCTCAGATCCCCCACTGAGGGTGTCTGTGTGTGTCAGAACCGGTCTCAGTTTCTCGGTAGTATGGAGGGGTACGGGCTGGGGAAGACTACACTGACCACAAAGAGATTGGTTCTTGAATTTCTCCAAATCCTTTGTATGAAGCCTAAAACTTTTATACACTTAAGAGTTTTGCTAGACCCGCCCTCTCAACCGAGATCGGTTCTCCCCACTTCTCGTTTCTCCTGATTTGTAACTGATTTCTGGGTCTTCTTCCTTTAGGACCCCCACCTCCTTCCACCGCTGTGGTTGTTTGCCCTTTATTCTGCTTGGGTTCCCCTTAGCTTCACTGACACGGATACGCCCCTAGTAGCTTCAGGCATCCCCGATATCCACACACAAAGTCCGGAAGGAAGAGCACTGAGGCCGCCAGTGGAAACTTCATTCTCACTGGAAGTACTTTCTGGGCGTCACCTGCCAAAGAATTCCTGGAATTCATTGGTATGGGTAGAATCGGAGCTGACGTCATCCAGGGGATCAGGGCAATTGCTTTGTGGGACAGGAATAGATTAACTCTGGATTTGTCTTTCTCTGTTGGCAACAACCTAGCCTTTGTGTTCCTTTACTTTGAGAGGATATGTATGTGTGCTTTGATCCTGGGGAAATTGGTGCTAGATACAAAATACATAGGAACGTGTTAAAACCTGTTAAGGCCGTTAAGGGATGGATGTATTTCCGTAGGGTGGGCTGAGGAAGTTAATGTGATCTCATAGTAGTGTTACTTAATGATTGGACAGTCTTCTGGTGAGGGTTCATTCTATCCTTGAAGCAAATGAGAGTCTCCTGGACAAGCCATTGGAAGAATTCCATACCTCACACAGCACCTGCTCTGGCCCTTGCTTGGATATTCTTCCCAGGGACCTACCTAAATCTTATCAGGAACAATTTCAGTATAACAAACAGACATATTAAATACTTCAAAATGTATATGGCACTGTGTGAAGTTTGGAGAATGGAGCACTAAACTTGGGGAAACCAGTTTCACATTACCCCAACTGGGGTACATGACCTGACCAGGGATCGAACCTACAAGCTGAGTATGTGTCCGGGCCGAGAATCGAACCCACAACAGTATAACCCTTGCACTGCTTCTGGGTTATACTGTTTCCAAGAGAGGATGTACAACTCTAAACTACGTTGTGTGATTGAATGAAATAATGCCACTATTTTCTGTCTCCATTATCACCACTGTAGTGCAAGGCTTCACCCTCTCTTGCCTAGACTGCTGCTTCATCTGGTCTTCCCACTCTTCCTCTTGAACCCTTACAATCCATTCTCTACACAGCAGCCAGAGTGATCTTTCCAAAATGTAAATAATTCAGATCACATCAGTCCCCTGCTTAAAACTCTCCAATCCACTACCATTGCAATTGGGGTAAGATCTGAACTCCTTTATATGATCCAATCTTCCCTTCTTTCTATGCACCAGCCATTGAGGTCTCACCTCTGTTCCTAAAACAATGTGTCTGACTGGTGTTTTGACACTTACCTTCCCATCTGTCTAGAACACTCTTCCAGACCTCAGCTAGAATGCCACCTTCCCAAAGAGGCTTTCTCTGGCCCTCTATCTAGATTATCACCTCTCCCTAGTTACTTTCTTAATCACCGTTTTTTATTTTTATTGCATTTCTCACTTTTGTAATTACCTGCATATTTATTTGTTTTCTTGTCTGTATCCACCAGCTAGAATGCAAGCTCCACGAGGCCTTGTTCTCATCTGTGTCTCCAGTGCCCAACACATAGCAGGGGCATAGTAAATGCTAACTCTTACTATTTTTATTCTTGTTAACATTTGAATTCCTTGAAGGCAAGCATGGTATCTTCTTTTTATTTTATTTTTATTTTATTTTTTAAAAATATTTTATTTATTTTATTTTTAGAGAGAGGGGAAGGGAGAGAAAAAGAGAGGGAGAGAAACACCAATGTGTGGTTGCCTCCCACACTCCCCCCTACTGAACCTGGCCCACAACCCAGGCATGTGCCTTGACTGAGAATGAACCAACGACCCTTTAGTTTACAGCAGGCCAGCACTCAGTCCACTGAACCACACTAGCCAGTGCTCTTCTATTTTTTTTAAAGATTTTATTTATTTTTTTGAGAGAGGGGAAGGGAAGGAGAAAGAGAAGGATTAATGTGTGGTTGACTCTCACATGGCCCATAACCCAGGCATGTGCCCTGACTGGGAATAGTACTAGTGACCCTTTGGTTCACAGCCTGTACTCAATCCACTGAGCTATACCAGCCAGGGTTGTCTTCTATTTTTTTATTAGAAGACTAATCGCTTTTTTTTTTTTTTTTTTTAGAGAGGGGAAGGGAGGAAGAAATAGAGGGAGAAAACAGCAATGTGTCGTTGCCTGTCACACACCCCCAACTGAGGACCTGACCCACAATCCAGGCATGTGCCCTAACGGAACTGAACTGGCAACCCTTTGGTTCGCAGGCCAGTAATCAATCCACTGAGCCACAGCAGCAAGGGCACATTTGTGTGTGTGTGTGTGTGTGTGTGTGTGTGTGTGTGTGTGTTTAAATCCACATCCAAGGACATTTTTTCATTGCTTTTAGAGAGAGAGCAAGGGAGAGAGAAGCATTGACTTCTTGTAAGCAACTGATTGCCTTCTTATAGGCCCCCAACTGGGGTACATGACCTGACCAGGGATCGAACCTACAAGCTGAGTATGCGTCCGGGCCGAGAATCGAACCCACAACCTTTCAGTCGGCCTGTGGGATGACACTCCAACCAACTGAGCCACACCGGCCAGGGCAGGATGATACCTTATTACTTCTCTATTCCTACTGCTTAACATAGTAGGCACTCACAATTTGATTCTTTAGGAAACCAAAACATATACAGTGTAAGTCGTAAGGGGTGACCTGGCTTTGCGTTCCTTTGTTTTCCTTGCTCTTCCCTCTCATGAAATACTAGTGTTTCAGTTTCCATATCACTTAATTGACCTCAGATTTATCATCTTGTCTTTTCTAGCCCTTTTTTCCTATTCTTGTTGAAAGGGAAGTGAGGAAAAGATAGGGCTGGGCCCCCTCTCAGGAAAAAGAAGCAAAAATAGCCGTCCTGTAGCTGTTCAATCCTGCAAAATGGTGACTTAGGGTAGGGCTAGTGCCCAGAAAGGGGAATATCAGGAAACCCCACGGGAGCTGGGGTCACCTCTGCCGAGAACACGAGGTAGTTCCCCGAAGCCTGGCTCATTTCACAGTCTCCTGAGCTGCTTTTCCGTGCCTTCCTGAAGCCAGACCCCGGGTGCTAGTTACTGAAAATAAGCACTGGTGTGGACTGCTTCTGAGCCTGGAATCTTTAGGAAGGAAGTGCATCCTGTCCCTCGGGCTCCTGGGAAACTCCTAGGCTGGCTGGACTCCCAGTGGGTTTGGCTGGAAGTCTTGGACTCTGGGAACTTTGAGAAGAACATAACTGGAATCTGACTGGTAGATCCCCAGGGTGGAGACTTCTGCTCTGCCCAGTCTGTTCCTCTGTCTGGCTCCGGAGCTTCTTGGTCTTCCTTGCCTCCCAGAGCTCAGTCTCAGGGAGGCTGGTGAAGAGACTGTGCCCCCAGACCTGGTTCCTGGCACCATGAAGAACAGCAGGAGCATCTTTTTTCCCATTGCCTAGGGTCTTCACCTCTGCCGGGGAACCCTGTCGAGGGCCGATCAAGGAGAGAGTGACTGGATGGTCAGTGTTTCTCCTTCTGTCCCCTCCTGGCTGAGGGCTTTCCTCTGCTGACGCTTATCTTCTCTCCCATCTGCTCACAGCGTTGAGAGTATGAGGCTCTCGCCTCCACTGGCCACTCACCCGTGACCCTTCCACCACGGCGGAACCTTGCAAGCCCACCTCCTGCCGTGTGGTCATCTACCTGAAGCGGGAGATGTCGGGGGACACCTGTCTGTGCCCAGCCTCGGGGGCCAAGCCCAAGCTAAGCGGCTTCAAGGGAGGCAACCTGGGCAACAAATACGTCCAGCTCAATGTGGGTGGTTCCCTATATTACACCACTGTGCGGGCACTGACGCGGCACGACACCATGCTCAAGGCCATGTTCAGCGGGCGCATGGAGGTGCTGACTGACAAAGAAGGTGAGGTATCAGGGCTTCTTGGGCAAGGTGGGAGGGGAAGGAGTTTCTGGGGACGTGACTTTGGGGCAGGGTGTAAACCTGGCAGATCTAGACTCTACGTTCATTTTTCCATTGCACCTGACACTGGACTCCACCTGGAATTCTTAGTCGAGCTTCAGGATTCCTTGAAATTGTACATGGATTGTTGTATGCTTATGCATTTTCCAAGGAGGCTATCCACACATTTTTTAATTCCTATTGGACTAGGTTCTCTTAAGGAGCATCACCATAGTGACTGGGCAGTGGGCAGAAGACAGGCAGGCCTGGTGGTGTCTGTTGTCAGGGGGAGGGCCTGAGCGTTCCTGGGCCAAGGCCTCTGCAGGGCCTGCCTCTCCACGGCGTGTGCCAGTTCTCTGCTTCGGGGAGGAGCAGTGAAGAGAAACCCTGGGCCCGAGAGCCTGAGATTCTGTTCCCGCTTCTGTTACCCTGTGCTGGGGGCTCTGCGCTCATGTGCTCTTCGCCACCTGTCACTGGGCTCGTCAGGTGGCCTTTGCTACTGCCTGCTTCCCAGTACCTGGAGGTAAACAGTAACCCTCCAGGGCCTATCTGAACCCCTAGGCTGGATCCTCATAGACCGGTGTGGAAAGCACTTTGGCACCATTTTGAATTACCTCCGTGATGACACCATCATCCTCCCTCAGAGCCGTCAAGAAATCAAGGAATTGATGGCTGAAGCGAAATATTACCTCATTCAGGGGCTGGTGAACATGTGCCAGACCGCCCTGCAGGTACGGAGGCCAAGTCGGGGCTGGTTGGTGAGGCTGGGAGTTGGCCCCCTCCTTCGGGACATACAGGTCCAGTTCCTGGAAGGCCGGGTAGCAAGCCCAAGTGTGGTTGAGGAGCCCAAACCTGTGTAAATACACCAGGTGCTGCCCAGGCCGAGCAGGTGGGCAGCCAGTCAGTTTGTAAGGTGACAGGATGAAGCAGTATGGCTGGGCCCTGCCTCAGGTATATAGCCCGGATGTCTGGATTTTTGGTTTTCTGGAAATGGAAGTCTGCTTGCCAGCTGGCAGTTCTGTTACTAGGGGCCCCCGCCTCTCTGTCTGATGTGTCCCCAACAAGCAGGGCTGGCCGTGGCAGAGGGGCTTTGACAGGTCCTGGGGAAAGCCTGGCCAAGGCTGGCAAACAGGATCTCAAAAAGGATTCTCGGCTGTGTGTCACCCAGGACAAGAAGGACTCCTACCAGCCGGTGTGCAACATCCCCGTCATCACGTCCCTGAAAGAGGAGGAGAAGCTCATCGAATCTTCCACCAAGGTACCGGGTCTCTGCGGGACCTCTGAGGGCTACAGGCAGGGGATTACGGGACCCATGCCAGCCCTCACGCTCTCCTCTGTCACAGCCGGTGGTGAAGCTGCTGTACAACAGAAGCAACAACAAGTATTCCTACACCAGGTAGAGTGGGCGTCCGTGGGGTGCTGGCCGGGGGTCCTGGGGAAGGGCTGCAGAAGCAGCTCAAAGGGTGGAGCTGCCCGAGTGGAAGTTTGGCGGCAGACCCGAGGGAAGCCCCTTGCACCCCTGCACCCCTGGCGTGGTTGGCACGGGCCTGGGTCTTAGGAGGGAAGAGAAGAGAGTAGAAGGGGAATCAGGGCAGAGGCAGTTGGAACTTGCAGCAGGGCACTGGCTCGGATGCAGACGAGACTGAACATGCAACACCCTCTTAACATGTCGTGTCGGGCAGCGAGCCAGGTGTTTTCCCAGCATTACCTTCCCTGGTGGAGGAGGGACACTGGGAAGCCAGTGGGCTGGGACCCCTCCTAGGCCAGCCTTTGTCCTAGGCCAGTTTCTCCCTTGCCCCCAGTGTCCTCTCAACAGGCCCCAGGTCTGTGCAGGAGGCTGCCGGCTCAGAGTCCCAACCCTTGCAGTGACTCTCGGTGAACAGACATGTTGCTAGCGTCACCCTTACAGCAAGGGAAAGAATCCTGCCGAGGTGGTGGCAAGCCTCCTTCCTTCCAGGCCTGATGAAAGGAGACCTCCGTCCCTCAGTTCTCTCTGCTTTAACTTGAAACCAGCTCAACTCCTTTCCTGTGCCGGCCCTCAAACCCAGATGGTGCCCGAGGCCCTTTCTCTTCCTGTCCCCTCTGGCATCCTGACTCCCCCTCATTTCAGCATGGTAGGGGAGGGCAGGGAGAGCCCATGTCATACACTCCCTGTGCTGGAACCGCATTCCCAGGCCTGCGGGCCCCGTGGGTTTTCCAGCAACTCCGACGACCACCTCCTGAAAAACATCGAGTTGTTCGACAAGCTGTCCCTGCGCTTCAACGGCCGTGTACTCTTCATCAAGGATGTCATCGGCGACGAGATCTGCTGCTGGTCATTCTACGGCCAGGGCCGGAAGCTGGCCGAGGTGTGCTGCACCTCCATCGTGTACGCCACAGAGAAGAAGCAGACCAAGGTGTGGGGGCTTCCCCTGCATGGCTGGGGGCAGGACACTATCCAGGGCCTGAAGGGGGCATGCATTTTGCTCTCCTGTCTTTCCCAAACTCGCCAGGCAAGGATCAAGGCCAGTACAAGGGGCTCGGGGAAAGGCACGGAACTCTTTGTGCTGGTCAGCTGACAGGCAGGGGCCATAGGGAAGGACCAGATCTTTGGAGTTGGCCCAGTTCAGGTTTGAATTCTGGTCCCACGATTTATCAGTTTTCTGACTTTGGATCAACCCTTTGAACCATTTAGGACCCAGTTTCCTTGTTTGCAAACATGGGAATAATGGTGTGGATTTAACAGAGTTGTTGTGAAAATGGGACCGTTCTAAGGAGCAGCGGTGCAGTGCAGTGGAAACGGCTGTTCAGATCTCTCCTGTGGCCCCTGCCAGTGGGGCGTCCCCACTCACTCAGCTTAGCTCCGCAGTGACAACACAGTGGCAGGCATCCGTGAGGGGATGCCAGGTGACAGTTAACATAAACTCAGCCAACTCCGCTTTCCCAGGCCTCGAGTGGTCAGTGCCTTCCCCACAGAGTAGCTGCCCACCCTGCGTGTGGGCTCCAGAGACGGCAGGGCTTTGATGGGCTGGAAGGGCAGCCCGCCAGGGGCAGTCGTGTGCGAGTGAAGGGTTCAAAGCGGCAAGCTCAAGTGTGACCCTCTCCCCCCAGGCCACTGAAGTGCCTGTAGCCGGGCTGTCTGAGGGTCAGGGGAGGGCAGCTTAAGGAAGTGGTCCTGCTTCCTCCTGTCGTTTTTGGGGGTGGGATCTCCCAAGTACACATACTAGTGGAGTCAGGATGCAGGGGCAGGTCTGTGCAGGGGCTGGTTACACTGTGGAAGCTGCAACGGCACCTGCCACCTCCTTAAGCATTTTCTCTTTCATGAGCTCTGTGACCCCACACACTACACCCGTGAGGGAGGCAGGGCTGGACCGTGCCCCCCACGTGGCAGATGAGGGAACAGAAGCTCAAGATGACACAAGTTAGGCTCAAGTCCAGGTGCCTTGAATGCCATCCCTAACCATCTTCCAAGTAATATTCACAACTCTCTGAGGTAGGTGTTAACCGTGATTTCACACGGGTAGAAATAGGCTGGGCAAGGTTATGCCCAAGGCCCCGCACCTATTAAGGACTATGCGCTGTATCTGTACAACACCTAGGCCTATCCAAAGCCAAGGCCCTGACCTCTGCATGGGCTAGTCCATTGGTCTGGGATCCAGAAGGATGTGGAGAGGGTGCTAGTCTTCTGCACCCTCCCTTATGTGCATAGGGTACACCTCTTCACACCCCCTTCAGAGGGGGGCCTGCTTTCTGCGTGGGGAGACAGAAAGCCAACGCCTCCTAAGAGAGTTCAGGAGGCTGAATGAGCCAGCGCAGGGCCAGGGGCCCTGCCTGCTGCTCTGTCTTCGGGATGAGACCTCATTCATTCAGTCCATCCTCTTGGCCCCCTCGCCCCAGGTGGAATTTCCAGAGGCCCGAATCTATGAGGAGACCCTCAACGTCTTACTCTACGAGACGCCCCGAGTCCCTGACAACTCCTTGCTGGAGGCCACAAGCCGCAGCCGTAGGCAGGCTTCCCCCAGTGAAGACGAGGAGACCTTTGAACTGCGGGACCGGGTCCGCCGCATCCATGTCAAGCGCTATAGCACTTACGATGACCGGCAGCTCGGCCACCAGTCTGCCCATCGTGACTGACGAGACCCTCAGGGAGTCAGGGCGTGGGGCACCCTGTCTCCCCTGCTGTGGAACCCTGCCCCATTGGCCACCCCACACTGCTGCTGGCTGGGTCTCTGCTCCAGCACCCAGAGGCACGACAGGTCCTGTCTGGGGGGGCAGAGGGCCTGAGTAGGGAAGGAACCCCATTCCTTCGCCCTGCTCCCTGAGTACTTCGAGATGACTGAGTCCTGGCCCCTTTGCTCAGTGACTCCCTGCCTGCCTGACAGGGAGCTGCTTCCGCCCCTGGGGTGAGTGGGTCAGTCTGCTCACCTCCTGCTAAGAACATCCACCTGGCCCTTCACTGAATGCCCGTTCGCCCTGCTGAAGGGCTGCTTTAAGCCTCAGCTGAGGCCCCTGGGGAATGGGGCCATTCTGTGGAGAAGGTGGCTGCTGGTGCTGTGGAGGCCCAGTTTCTTAGAAGGTGAGGCTCCTTTTTTCCTAAGGTGTTTAAGCACAGGGTTGATGATTTTTTTTTTAATTATCTAGGAATTGAGTAGTCGTAGGTCTAATACTGAGGGGACTGGGTATTCCTACTACCCCTCCAGGATGCCAAGACTTTAAAGCACTTTGTACTTCTGTTCAGGAGAGCTGTATTTCTCCCTGACCCGTGTTGTCTTTTTCTGACCCTAATCTCCTCTTCCCTGCAGAATCAATCTGAGGGAGGGGATAGAAGAAGCAATAAAAACACTGACCAGTTTTGGCTTTGCCAGGAGGCTGGCCAAACAGCCTGCCCAGAGAGCGCTGAAGAAGGATGTGTAAGTTGGAGCCATGGTCCTAGTAACGCTCCTGCGAGAAAGGACGTTTTACCCCAAGTTTTTAGAGTCACGTAACTGACTCTTTGATTCTCCTGCCCTCAGCTCCAAGGCACGCTGCCCTCATTGTAAACCCAAAGAGCCATTCAGGGGCAGGAGCATGAGCCACCACAGGAAGGCTGTGGAGCCTGTGGGCACTGAGCACAGAGCCCCACGTTCTTGGTGGCCCTGCACGGGTGTGGCATGTGCTTGGCTGTATATCCTCCCACCCCCCACTCATGCTGTCAGTTTTGCATCCTGGCTGGGGATGGTGGTTCTTTCCAGGGTGAGTCTCTAGACATAGGATACTGTGAGCAGCCTAAGCCCCTTGAAAGATTTCATTTCTTTCTTGTTGGGTAATTTGGCCATGGCAATGCCAAGCACCAGCTCTTGGGCAAGGATGCGAGTTCCTCTTCAGGTCTTTGGTTTTTGTTCCCTTCTGTTTGGCGTGGTTCTCGGGAGTCTGCTTATCTGAATTCTTTTCCAAAGGAATGCCATCAGGAAGGGAATGTTCAGCCAGTTTAACAAATAACAGAGCAGCACAGCCACTTAGCAGTGCTCACTCATTCGGGAAAGGACACAGGTTATCGAGTTCATCTCTCAACTACTCTTACAGTAAGCCCCTGAATGGCTATTCATGGCTGACTCCACAGTCTGTGGCAGATGCCAGGCCAGGGTTAGTAGACGCTCAACAAGGACCTGAAATGGCATGAGGGGGCAAGAGAAATGTGACTCTAATCAGGTAGTTTACATTTGTCACAGTCTTGAATGTGTAAAGACTTTCAGATGAGGCATCCTGGTGATCAGCTATAAACGGTTCTTCCAGCATTCAGTGGAGATGAAGACAAATCAGTTTCTTTGGCCAGATTCTGGCTTTGGCTTTGTGCCTTTCTCAGAGAGCCTGGAATAATTCTGAGTCCAGTGGCCTATTTCCTCAGCTGCCCTCCTGAAGCCCTTTTAACACTCAAAGTCCCAGCACCCCACTGGAGTATTTTAATGATTGTCCTTCGACCTTCACAGCTCCTGTAGCCTCTTTACAGCTGTGATACTCAGATCCTCTGCTGGCTCAGTGACTGGTCTTTCCGAGAAAGCATGATGGTCTGGGACTCTAGACACTTTCTCTGATTGAAATTATCTCCTCGTTCTTAAAAAACTACTAACATTGAGCTCATTGAAGCAATCTTAGCTCTTTACATCAGACTTTGTGGTATAAGGATTTGGTGGATTTCGACCTTCCCAGCCCCATTCAAAAAGCAACTCTTGGTTGTATGACTTTTTCAACTCCGAGCAGCCCAGGGAAAAGTAAAAAGTGTGGATGAAGGTCAAACCTTCTCATCAGTTTCTCAGAAAACCGGAAGCCTGCTGTTAAGGACACATACCGGTACTGGGTTTTACTCAGTTTGCTGTCTGATGAGGTCTGGCTACAGGATGGCACAGGTGCTGGCATGAGAGAACAACTTGAGCACACAGCTATGGTTCTTCGTCATTGCATAGGTGATGGAAATACTAATTTCTAATAAAACTGTGTTACACTGCAGTGTGCAGAGCCGTGCTTACAGTGGGTACAGCTTGGTGAGCTCGCCGCTATGATCGTGGCTCTTTTGTGTGTGTCCACCTGACCTGGCTTCTCCCTGTCAGATGTCCCCTGGCACTCAGTTGTCCTGCAACCCGGGCTCCCCCTGGTGGAGGATTAAAGGACAACACTAATAAGGGCTGGAACTGAGATTTAATGTTAATTCAAGAATAAAACAACCTCTTTAACAATCACTATGGTAGCAGGGAAGCAGGAACCCTAAGAAACAGGGCAAAATGCAGCATATTTCATCTCTGGCTCTTGGAGATCTGTGAGCAGCTCAGAAAGCAGCTTGGCTTAGTCACCACCCATAACGTAAACCTCGGCTGAATTTCTGCATTTGTAATCTGGAGGCTTGGCAACCTGTGCTCACGGCAGGCAGGCCCAACATTCCGGGAAACCTGGCCGGCTTGCTTCACTCCTCTCCCCGGCCCGGGGAGGCCAGAGATGCCAGTGGTTGGCCAACACGAAGAGCCAGGCCACTCCTCTGACCCTGACGCTGGCCTCCCCCTCTGCAGCTGGCGGAAGGTAAACAAGAGAACGAGAGTCCAGCCCAGCCCCCACCCCACCGACTGAGAGGTACAGTGACTCTGAGACAGGTCCAGCGACCCCAAGCTTCAGGAGGGAAACACATACCCTCGTAGGAGTGGGACCTTCCTGGAAAGAGCAAGGGAAGCAATCAAGGGCCCCCCCCACCAGGTCAAAAAGGGAGCCTGAGGCCCTAGGGGCAGAAATGGCGAGGGTGGCCGAGCGTGCACTGGTTTATTGACCAAACCTCACATTCCAAACAGGCCAGGAAACTCCTCGCCTGTGGCAGCTGACCACAGTTCCTGGTGGAAGGTCTGGAACACAGTGTAGGCAGGGCTTGCAGGGGAGGCCAGCCTTGGAAGAGTCCTACATGGATCTTCTGGAGGAGATGGTTCTAGCCCACCCACCAAAAAAAGAACCCCACATTTGAATGACGCACACGATGAAGAGACCCACTGCATCCAGCAGTGGAGAGTTCTGCAGCAGTTGTGGGGTGAGAGCCATTCTTCAGGGACCAGGCCTGGCTGTGTGGGGTCTCGGCTGGCCTACCAGTGAAGGCCTGAGGGTGGTGTCTTCTCATCTTTATTGCTTTCCAGGGAGAAGGGAGGGATCCGGACATCAAAGTGGGAGCCATCAGGCCTCTCGAAGCGGAACGTGCCCCTGTGAGTCAGAGAAGCTAGTTTAGAGGGAGTGCGGGCCGAGACCATCCTGAGGACCTAGAGAGCCATGTGGCCTCAGCTCCAGAACCACAGCAGGATGAGGCAGGCCCGGGCTCTCTTCTGCCTGGTTCATGCCAGCACAACACTAGTCCTGGGACCCAAGAACCCTCCCTGGCCCTACATGAAAAGAAATACACCTGACCCTTAGATGCACACTGCATTAAAAACCCAACTACACTTTCCGGTTAAGGAAACACCAGGAAAAACCAATTGTGTGGGCCATTCTGTATCATCAAATCACCAGACCTCTTTGGCTTAAGTCCTTCATCCACAAAACCACAGGAAACTGGGAAACAGACATAAAAAATCAGGTAAGTCCCAAATAACGAACAGCAGGTAATGCTCAAACTCAGGACTTGACTCGGCCCAAAACTCACTGCAAGCTGTATGCTCCCACTTTTCGGACCTGCAGGCGGAGTCTGAGGAGTTGAGCTGCCCTGCCCAGGCACATGCTCACTCACCACATATGCCCACTGGAAGCTTGCAGCGAGACGTGGCTGCTGTACTGGAACGCAGGCTGCTCCTTGGACAACACTGGTTCCTGTGAGGGTTCAGGGAAAATAGGTTAGGCCAGACGAGCTCCCTGTGCCCCAGGGCCAGATGCTGCCTGCCAGTGCTTCCCCCACTGCACAGCTATGGTCCTGGGCCTTTTACTCTGACTCTAGGAAAGGTAATTTTAGGCTGCATGTCTGAGAACACTGGGCCAAGATGCCAGGCACAGAACCTACTCTGCAAATACCCCTCCCAGTGTCCACTTGCTGAGTGCCTGAGTGCAAGGTGGTGGTGCTCTGCAAACCTTTGCTGACTCACGTTTCCAAGTACTCATGAGGCAATAGTGTGATTCCCATTTCAGCAGTAAATGGGCAAACTGAGACTTTGGCTAAATAACTTACCCAAAATTACGCAGTGAAGAAAGAACATAGCTGGCATTTGAAGCCAGATTATCTAACTCCAAAGCCCCCTATTCTTACTTAGGATCCGACCCTGCTCCCCACAAGTCCCTGCTGACTTAGATAAATGCTTGTTAAATGTGGCCTCTGGCCAGTTCTCATAACTTTATTTCTCAGGAGACAGAGTGTAGTAGTACAGAAATTGCAAAATCAGGTCTCCTCAAGAACCAGCAGAGGATGTGAGCATGTGAAGAAGCGGAGGAAGGACAGCCAGCAGTAGTGGGGCCTGCCTGCCCCACCTAAGAGCATTCAATTTCAGAGTTTTTAAAAGGCACTGTGCTGGCAAGAAAAACTCCCCACCAGCTTTGAAGCTCACCAGCTCACCTGGATTCAAATCCAGGTCCTGCCCCCACTAGCTATGGGACTGGGCTAGTTATCTAACTTTATACTCTCATGCCACTCTCGTCTGTGAAGTGGGTTGTGAGAAAGCTATCTCACAGGGTGCTTGTAAGGTTTCTCACCAATGCGCTCATACGTGGAGCCTCTGCCCCTAGCGCAGAGGAGGAGGAAACCACACACTAAACCCCCAAGCCTGTGGGGCAGGACCAGGAACTGGGCATTATTGGCCCAGTGATGATAATGCTCACCCTGCCAACCACCCCTCGGCCTCGCACTGTCTCCAAGGTGCCAGATAGACTGAATATCCTCCAGTGTCGCTCCCGGAGCTGTACCACGTCATTGTCAAGGTTCTCCAAGCGGATACAGTAGCGCCACTGTGGGAGTGGGGAAGAAAGAATTCACAGCTGAGGAAAGTAAACTTTGCCTGGCTGGTGTAGCTGAGTGGATTGAATGTGGGCTACAAACCAAACTGTCACAGGTTCGATTCCCAGTCAGGGCACACGCCTGGGTTGCAGACCATGACCCCCAGCAACCACACATTGATGTTTCTCTCTCTCTATCTCCCTCCCTTCCCTCTCTAAAAATAAATAAAATATTAAAAAAAAAAAAAAAAAGAAAGTAAACTTTGGGCTAGCCTGCCCAGAATTCTGAGAGAGCAAAGGCAACAAAGGTTGACCCTTGCATTGCACAGGCCCCACTCCCCAGAGGTAAAGTCCCCCCTGCCAACCTGCCCCTACCATGCACCTTTCCTAAGCTCCACCTCCTGGAGGGAGACACTCACCCAGTAGACATGGGAATTCTGGGCTTCCTGCGGGGGAAAAAAACACAAAGAACCTAAGTACCAGAGCAGGGGGCAGAATCAAGTCTGTTCCAATTGACACCTCTCCAATGGAGTAGGGGCATTCCGGGAAGGCTGCAGAGACTGAGCAGTGCTGAGAATGCCTGTGGGTCATGACAGCTGAACTGTAGTATAGGAGACTGTTCGGTGTGGTGTGAGGAATGTAGCCCAGCCCCCAATTCGGAAAACCAACAGAGCGAGGTTGGCACACAGGACCCATGCCCATGGACAGGTTTTCCCGTGGGGACTCAGGCCTGTATTGTACCTAGGCTGTTGTGAGGCTTGCTTTTGCTAAAATTTCCTCACCCTGAATTGAGGCAGCAAATGTTTACTGTGTATCTTTAACTTTCTAAAGTCTGTGCTAAACCTCCCAAGTATGGAGTGTAACCAGTTCAACCTCTTTTCCCCTTGGTCTGAAACATTCTTCTCTTTGAAGTAAGTAGCAACATTCTTTGTTATCTGTGAATGGTAATCACCTACAGTGAACCTGTCCATAGTAAGTGAGGACCATCCTCGATGTAATGTGCCCAGAAAAGCAATCAAAGGCAGTCCAGGAGGGGTCGGGGCCCTCTCCATGCCGTCCTTTTTCTCCACAGGACTTCTGCAGTCCGTGTGAACTTGTTCATCGCAGCCACAACACACGGACCCCGTGGGCTGGAGTCCGCATCACCGTGGCCCACAAGCCACTGCAGAAGGCAGCCTCGCCTGGGTCCACCCGTGGCCCCCCTCCTCATCCTGTCAGACACAGAGCTCTTCCCTTTCTCTGAACCACCCTCTCCCTGTCAGTTGACGCTCCCCCTCACTGCTGGCCCAGGCCACTGCCCTCGTCTTTGGCCCTACCATAGCCCAACCTTATCGATACTGGGTTCGGTGTGTACTGACATCCCTCCATCCTGTGAGCTCTGGAAGGCAGGGACAATGTTTCATTCTTATCTGTATCCCCAGGACCTAGCTTACAACCAGACAAGAAATAGCTCAATTAATGTTTGAGTAATGCATAAAAGTATAAAGATCATCCTATCCTACACCGATTTAAAGATGTATGTGTATATTCTCCATAAGCGTGGCTCCCTTTGAGCCAGAAGAGAAGGAAGAGTCAGCCTGGAGCGTGGAGGACTCCTCCTTGGGCACAAAGGTTTCCCTGCTCTAGGTCCTGATGTCAGCCACTGCCAAAAGGCTGCTCAACCCCGCCCCGTACGTGGAGGGCTTGGAAGCAGAACCACCAGCACGTGGCTGACATGCGGAACCTGCTCCAGCAGTCACACCAGGAATGCCACACAGAATCGGGGGCCCGGCCCCCAGGGAAGGAGCCCACACGGGGCACGTACCCTCATGCCCATGTAGAAGGGGATGACAGTGACTCGGATGTTCTCCGTTGTTTCCCGGTGGACGTCGGAGAGCTCCAGCCAGGGGTGGTTCTTCTCTTGCCAGGCCCGTAATGTCTCCCGAGCCACAAAAGGGGGAGCTGGGGCAAGGGGATGACTGGTCAGTCCAGGCCGGAGCCCGCAGCATTACACCCACTGCCCAATAGCCCCTCCTAGAAAACCCTGCCCAGGGGTGGCCCAGGGAAACAAGACACCCGAACATGAAGCGAAAGCACTGGTGGGAAGAGGGCACAGAGCTGCTTCCATAGATAAGCTCCGGGGAGGTATGTGGCTTCCTGGGATGAGAACTGGACTGGGAATTAAGAGTCCTGGTTGTCAGGCCTCACTCTGCCACTGACTACAACCTCCAGTCCCTTCTCATCCCCTCTGAGCCTCAGTTTCCGTACGTGGAGATGATGGCCATTGACCTGGCAGGTCTAACGGGAAGTTGAATGAGAATATGGAAACAGAGCTTTGAAATGACTTCTGTGATATCATTTTTGAAGAAAGGGCCCTCCCTTTCCAGCTTCTCTTCTTGAGAGAGATTACCTTTTGTCTGGTCATAGAGAAGAAATCTTTCAAAGAGCTCGTGCTGGATGGGAACCTGATCGGTGGAGGTGTAGGGGAGGATGTCTTCATGGCTGACATAGTCCAGGCCTGGCACACAGAGGCAAAGAGCAGTGAAATTGTATAGAAGGGGAGGAGGAACAGGGCTGAACAGAAACATAATTCCTGGTCTTGTCCCAGGGTGGGATGACCCTGGTACCATTGCACTCAGCGTCTGTAATCCCTCCCAGCCAATTAAGGACATCTGAAAGGCATCAGAACCCTCTCCCTGAGACACTCGGGACACCTGATGGACAGGCACCGTTCAGGTGTGTGTACTCACCTGGGATGGCATAGAGGGCCCGGCTGTCATCATGGTTGGCCAAGAAAGTCACAGCTTCTGTCTGAGATCTCTGAGACTAAGCAAGAAGTGAGTCAGACTTTCTTCCTCTCTCTCTCTTTTTTAAGACTTTATTTATTTATTTTTAGAGAGAAGGGAAGGGAGGAGGTAAGAGAGGGAGAGAAACATCAATGTATGGTTGCCTCTCGCATGCCCCCAACAGGGAACTTGGCCTGCAACCCAGGCCTATGTCCTGACTGGGAATTGAACCAGCAACCTTTTGGCTGGAGGAACGATGCTCCAACCGAGCCATGCAGCCACAGTGAGTCAGACTTTCTTAGTCACTCTCCAGTCCTAAGGTCTTGGGGCCCAGAGTTGATCTAGTCTGTCTGACCCCTCTCCCTCCCTTTGCCCCCATTGGGGTTCAGGTCTTTCCCATGGAGCAGAACCCCACGCCCAGCCATCATTTTACTTACTATATGCGGACAGTCTCGGGCATCAATCAGCACCTGATAGTAAGTGTGAGTTTTTCCTTTCACCTCCTTAGAGCCGTGGCCAGCAGGATTCTCTGCTCTACAGGGTAAAAAACACCCAAGATCACCCAGAGAGAAATAGAAGCAGTGCCTGCCCTATCCCCCTACTCCAGCCCCCCCTCATCCAAACAGGCTGGTGCCTTATCTGAAGGGCTTTAGCAACTCCCAGCCCAGCCACTCCCCAGGCTGGGACAAACAAAGGAACATGGAGGGCCCATGGCACAGAGCCATCATCTGTTCTACTCTCTGGCTGCCTCTTGGGAGAAGGGGGAGATGTTGAGAAAATCAAATGCAGGCCTCAGTCCCCAGAGCCCAGACTACCCCGTTCTTCTCACATCCCAGGGGCTACCTGTGATAGCTGAATGAAACCAGGCCTTTTCTTTTCTAAGGTACTCGAATGATGATGAAGAGATTAAGGGAAGGATTCTAAGTGAATGTCAAGAAATCAAGAAGCAGAATTCCCCAGTGCCTTCAGGGATAATTATAATGCGAACTGAGAACAGCTTGGGAGACTCTCCTGGGGAGGCCTAAAGGGGCCCTCTGGCTTCAGACTGCTCCTGGCACTCAGGGCTTTGGTCTCCATGGTTACTAGCAGCAGGGGAGCACTTGGACATTCCTAAGGCCCAGGAGGATGCTGTCTTCACCCTGGGATCCCAGGGACCCCAGTTACTTGTGTCTGCCATGAGGCAGGCCTCCTCCTGAGGACACTGTGAGGCACAATGCAGGGCAGCTTACTTTTCTGGAGCTGCAGAAGCCACATCCCGGTCGTACAGCCTGGCCTGCCAGGGAAACAGGACAACACCTCGGTAGCCAAAAACACTATGAAGGAAAAGCTGGGAGGAAAGAGAGGCCTCAGTGAGTCTGCAGTCCAGCAAGTTCATCCAGACGGGACACAGACCACCCAACAGCACAGACGTGCGAACTCCTGCACAAGGTCTTGCCGCTCTTTTCCTTGAACTCTGCAATCTCCCCAGACCAACTTCGGAACACTCTTACCCCCTCTTCACCTAGCTGGCCTCTACGCATCCTTTAGGCCACAATGCAGGCCTCTAGGAAGTGTTCCCTGACCTCCCCTTCACCTAGCACAGTGCGCAGCTGTTGGTAATTTGCATATCATAATTCCTTTCTAAGCTGTCAACTCCATTAGGCATTGCTTTCCGATTTAACTCCAATGCACAATGCAGACACACCGAAAAAAATCCTGAATAAAAAAAAAAGTCCTCCTTACCTACAAGAAGTCTAAATCCATCTCAGTGGATCTGGTTCAAAGCTGATTCAGAAAAAGAGCCTCACACCCAGAGCTTACTACACTGCAGAAAGCTGAACTATGACAAAGCACCAGGTGTATTTTTCTGAAAGCTCCCTCACTGGCTTCCCACCATCCACTACATTAGAGGACTCTTCAGTAACTTGTCTCTCTCCTCACTACAGTCCAAACCACTTCTGTCCACACTAACTTGGAGAGAGAACCCACTGATACATGAAATGCACTCAAATCCAGGAAAACAGAAACCCACCTTTATTTTTTAATATATTTTATTGATTATGCTATTACAGTTGTCCCCTTTTCCCTTTATTCCCCTCCGCCCTGTGCACCCCCTCCCACCCACATTCCTCCCCTTTAGTTCATGTCCATGGGTCATACATTTAAGTTCTTTGGCTTCTCCATTTCCCATACTATTCTTAACCCTGTCTATTTCCTACCTACCATCTATGCCACTTATTCTCTGAACCTATTCTCCCCTCTCCGCACCCACTCTCCCAGTGATAACCCTCCATGTGATCTCCATTTCTCTGGTTCTGTTCCTGTTCTAGTTGTTTGCTAAGTTTCTTTTTGTTTTTGCTTTAGGTGTGGTTGTTAATAATTGTGCATTTGCTGTCATTTTACTGTACATTTTTTTTTAATCTTATTTTCTTAGATAAGTCCTTTTAACATTTCACAAAATAAGGGCTTGGTGATGATGAACTCCTTTAACTTGACTTTATCTGAGAAGCACTTTATCTGCCCTTCCATGCTAAATGAAAGCTTTGCTGGATAGAGTAATCTGGGATGTAGGTCCTTGCCTTTCATGACTTGGAATACTTCTTTCCAGCCCCTTCTTACCTGCAAGATTTCTTTTGAGAAATCAGCTGACAGTCTTATGGGAACTCCTTTATAGGTAACTGTTTCCTTTTCTCTTGTTGCTTTTAAGATTCTCTCCTTATCTTTAATCTTGGCTAATGTGATTATGATGTGCCTTGGTGTGTTCCTCCTTGGGTCCAACTTCTCTGGGACTCTCTGAGCTTCCTGGACTTCCTGGAAGTCTATTTCCTTTGCCAGATTGGGGAAGCTCTCCTTCATTATTTGTTCAAATAAGTTTTCAATTTCTTGCTGTTCCTCTTCTTCTCTGGCACCCCTATGATTTGGATGCTGGAACATTTAAAGATGTTCTGGAGGTCCCTACACCTCTCTTCACTTTTTTTGAGTTCTTATTTCTTCATTCTGTTCTGATTGAATGTTTCTTTCTTCCTTCTGGTCCACACCATTGATTTGAGTCCTGATTTCCTTCCCTTCATTGTTGGTTCCCTTTACACTTTCCTTTATTTCATTTAGCATAGCCTTCATTTTTTTCATCTAATTTGCAACCATATTCAACCAATCCTGTGAGCATCCTGATTACCAGTGTTTTGAACTGTGCATCTGATAGGCTTGCTGTCTCTTCGTTACTTAGTTGTATTTTTCCTGGAGCTTTGATCTGTTCTTTCATTTGGGCCTTTTTTTTTTGTCTCAGTGTGCCTGTTACATAGTAAGGGGCAGAGCCTTAGGTGTTCACCAGGGCGGGGCAAGCCATGTCCCTGGGTTGACACACTTTGTGGGGGAGGGGTCAGAGAGGGATCAGTGCCACTTGCTCCACTCTCTGCCAGTTTTTAGTCACTTCTCCCACTACCCACAATCAAATTGGGCCCTTCTGGTGCTGATTCCTGGGTGGTTGGGTTTGTGTACGTTCTAAGACCCTGTGGGGCTCTCCAATAAATTCTCCTGTGAGGCTGAGAGTTTCTCCCACAAGCCGCAACCTCCACAGGTGTTTTCAATCAGAGGTTTGAGGCTTTATTTCTCCGCACTGGGACCCTGGGTTGTGCAGTCTGTCTTGCTCCCCAGTAGTTCCTCCTGGTCTATCTGCATGTGAATGTGGGACTGCCCAGTCCAAAATCCACCACCTCGCTGAGTCTGCCAGCCACTGCCTTGCCCACCAGCCACAGTCTTGCCTGCCCCAGTCCTCTAGCCGCAGCCTTACCACAAGTCCTCTCCACCCGGCTGCCCGTCTCCACCCCTCCTACCCGTCTGGATGAATGTTTCTTTAACTCCTTGGTGGTCGGACTTCCATACAGTTGGATTTTCTGGCAGTTCTGGTTGTTTTTGTTTTTAAATTTGTTGTTATCCTTCTTTTGGTTGTGTGAGGAGGCACAGTGTGTCTACCTACACCTCCATCTTGGCCAGAAGTCCCCCAGAAACCCACCTTTAAACACTTGTGGTTCTAATCTGGCCCCAGACACCAAGGCACAAAACTGTAACATTCAGCTCTATGACTAAATCTGACCCTCTCGGCAGAACACACCATGAAAAAGGAAAGATGACCCAGACCAGCACTCACCTGCCCAGTCTCATATTTTCCATTCTGTTTTGGCACCTCAAACACACCAACTGTCTCCAAAACTTTGCCCTCTGGTCGGTTTCTGATTAGGAAGGAACAGAACAAGCAGCTGAACAGCTGAGGAGGTAATAGGACTTACCCATCAGGAAAGGCTACTAGAATACTGAGGGACCAAGGCCATGACAGCAGAGAAGCGTCAGGGGAGCCAGCTGAAATAGGTAAGGGTCCTGCCAAGTCACCACCCCACGCTCCACGGAGCCTCTGCCTGTCCTATTCTGAGGTCCAGCCACAGGCCCCAGGTTTCCATGCCAGGTCCACCTGCTCCCGGATCACTTTCTTCTCTTCGCTCTCAGCGTTCCTCATATCATGCCCTCTACCCTGCCTAACTGTGCTCCTTGCCTCCCTTTTCTCCCTAAGCCACCCTCCTGACCTCCCACAGCATTTTAACTGTCCTTCCCACCTGGCATTAATTTCAGTTATTTGTGCCCATGTCTTATCTCCATTAGAGACTGTAAGCACCCTGGGAGCAATGCCTGTGTCTGATTAGCCTAGTGTATACCAGGAGCTCAAAAATATTTGTTCTGTTATAATTCCATGTCCATCTCCAGCTCTGAACTGCAGTCTTCACCCTGCCTTTGAAGGGCTTAATCATCCTCTCTGGATTTCCTCCTGCATTCCCTACATTGCACCCTGCAGTCTCTCAATCCAGTTTTTGTTCAGATTTACATCATTTTTCACAGGAGTCTGAAAATGCAACTAGTTATCTCTCCCCAATATGAACGTCTAATCTCCCTTACTAAAAGGTCTGTTCTCTCAGCGACCTCTCCGCACAGGTGCTCTTTACAGGAGCTGTTGAAAGCACTGCTCTTCTTACTGTTTGGAGATGTAAACATCATGCTTCCTCCCACTTGATCCTCTGGCCCCAATTTTGATCTGTCTGTCCTATCCCTGGAAACAATGCTCACACCATCCCCATGCCTCAAGCCCTCTTCCCCAAATCACATCGAGAGAACCAGTCTGCCCAAGGTCACACTGAAACCGGGGACCTGAGCGGGGCTCAGACTCAGGAGCCCTGTTTCCCACTTCAAGCATCTTTCTGAGAGAGAACTTGACCCAATCCGGAGCTAGGGAGGTGGAAGTCAAAAGCCCTAGGTCTTAATTAATAGGCTGCCCACTAACAGCGGCGCTCAGAGATCCCCACTCCGGAGGTAGGATTCACTTTGGGAGGATTACTGGTTCCCACTCAGAGCCTGCCCCGCATAACCCAGGGATCTGGACCGCACTCCCTTCTCTGCTCCTGGCACAAATCCCAGACAGCGTAGATCGGCTTCCGGCTGGGACCCTGTCACGGGTCTAATTCCCTCTCCCCTCCGGGCCTCCTAGCCTCCTCCCTGGCCAGAAACACGCTCTTTAGGCTCCGGGCCCCTGCCCCTCACCGGGACGAGAGGTGCCTCCGCGTCGTGGTCGCTGCAGGGAGGAAGGGCCCGGCTCCACCCGCCGCACAGAGTGGCCTTGGCCCCCGGGCACCGGTCAGTGACCGGGACCACCAGCGGCTGCCTATGGCCAGGGCCCGCCGGGCCACACAGCCCGCCATGTCCCCCACGAGCGCCTGCTGGGCTGCTGACACAGGGCCCGACCCACAGCCCGGCGGCGTCCCGCCCCCGCCCCACACTGCCCCGCGCTGCGCCCCGCCCTCTTGGCCCTCTGCCCCGCTTCCCCCACCCCCCTACAAGCTCCTTGTTCCTTCCGGCGCACGGCTGGCGGAAGTCCCCTCGGAGTCACCTGACCGTACAGTGGGCTAGAAATGGCGTCTTATTTAGTCGCGGGAGAGCGGCTAGTGCGTGCTGTGGCCCCAGGTGGGGAGCTGGAGCAAGAGCAGTTGCCCCGGAAGCTGCGGGCAGATCTTGAGGCCGCTTTGGAGAGGAAGCACAAGGGTGGTGATCGCCTCAGTGGTTCCGCACGCCTGGTTTCCTTCCGCCTGATTCGGGATCTGCACCAGTACCTGAGAGAAAGGGGTGAGGTCCATTCTCCAGCACGGGAGTCGCCTCCTCTTCTCCAGAGTCTGTTCCTTCTTGAAGTCTTTCCCCCACCTCTAGCATCTTTATCCATCACTCTCTTGATGACCGCGGAACGATCATCGAGCCAACCCAAGAATCACCCCAGAAATTCTAGGGCAAATCACTCCCTTCACAACTCCCCGGGAGTTCCTTCTGGGTTACAAAATTTGCCTGTGCAGTTTCTGCTTTCTTGAGAATCTCCACATCCAGGCCCAAGTAGACCCACCTGACCCTTGAGGAAGTCCAAGTTTTAACTCAGGACCACCTCACAGGGTCAGTTTCTTCCTTTTAAGCCACATTAGAAACCAACAGAGCCGGGTGGCTCTGTTGGTTGGAGCATCGTTCCGTACACCAAAAGGTTGCGGTTGAATTCATTGGTATAGAAATGGCCATGCTTTATTTTACTAGAAAGAACAGAAAGACTAGACCCTTCTCTGATCTTAATCCTTCGAACTCAGCTCTATGGATCATTACATTTGTAGACATATTTTCTTCCCAGATTCCAAACTGTACCTTCATGCGCTCTTAGAAGGCAGTGAAATCTATCTCCCAGAGGTGGTGAAGCCTCCTAGGGTATGTAAACGATACATTTGTGAGAGTGGATGTTGGCTGAGTTGAGCTTATCTGTGATGCATCCAGACTTGTGGGTCAACTTTTGTGTTAAAAAAACTATTTTTAAACTATATTTTAAATGTGTGGGAGCTGGGGTGGGTGGGGCAAGCAGATGTTGTCCTTGTTTGGCAGCTTGGAAAACAGATCCATTAAAAAAGGAGTTTTCAAAGCAGTGGAGGCAGAACTGGTACATGGGTCTCCTGGTCCCCTTAGCAGTATTTTGCGCCCTGAAACCAATGATTATGAGATGCTTTCAACCAAGCTGGGAATGTCATTCTTCTCATTTGATTTTTCTGCCTTAGAACCCAGAGCTAGTTGCCCGTCTGGAGAAAATTAAGATACAGTTGGCCAATGAGGAATATAAGCAGATCACCCGCAATGTAACCTGTCAGGTAAGGGCCTGCCCTTCAACACGTGGACTGGGTAGCCGTGGAAAGCAGGGCATTGCCCTGGGAAGAGGCACAGAGGAAAGAAGCAACATGGAATGGTTTGTATACTATTCAGGGAGCAAAAAAGTTTTGTGTTACATACAAACCAAATATAATTCCATACTCATTCACTGAGTCTCTGGTCTTAGATAGTAACTGATTCTTAAAAGTTATAGAGGTGGGAAATGAGTGTTGGAGCCCTTCTTCTGACAGGGCTGCCTACCGTTCTCCGCCATGCTGCTGCCCTGGGGCACTGACGGGTAGATGGGTACTGGAAGCCTGTGTCTCTTTGAAATGCTTGATCTTGATCTAGGAAAGAATCCAGCTGGTCCCAGACAAGAGAATCCATGGAGAAGAAAGACTTAATGTTTGGGCAAATAAAAAAGGGCTGAGCCCAGGCCAACAAATGGACACTCTCTGGGCTGCCTCGGAGCTACTTCCATTCTGAAATCATTCACTTTTGCTTTTTCCCAGGATTTAAGACATGGTGGGATTCTGAGTGACCTGGGCAAGGAAGGTGAGATACTAGGATGTCAAGTGCTAAAGTCTGTCCCTGGGAAGGGTCAGTCACAGCACTCCCTCCCACCCCAGTGCTCTGGGGGTGAGCCTGAGCTATTCAGGTTTGCTGTTTGAGGGAGACCCAGTTGATGGGGAGGCAGCCATGGGATAAGAGGGCCTCCTGAAGGATGCTGACTTAAAGGTTTCCTCCCTGGGTTCTTCCCCAAAGTGAGGTCAGTGAAGGCTCTGGTCATCACCATCTTCAACTTCATTGTCACAGTGGCAGCTGCCTTCGTCTGCACTTACCTTGGAAGCCAGTATGTCTTCACAGAAATGGCCTCGGTGAGTAGGCACTGTGGTCCAGGTAGGATGCTCCAGATGGGGGTGTTAGTGGGAAAGGGAGGAAGTACGTGAACATGCCTTGCATAGGTTAGGTATGGACCAAATATATATGCAGTGAACAAGAGGGGCATTTGAGCTTTTCAGTAGTCTTGCGGGTAGAAGTAACCTCAAGAGAATACAGATCTTCTTTTCTTCCCTCCCCTGCCCAACTTATGGGCTGGGTTGGGGTCCTCTTCAAACTCATCAGAGGTGTTGGAGGCTGCAGAGCCGGTGGCCAGCCTCCATCCCCTGAGCCTGGTTCTCCCTCCCCAGCGGGTACTGGCTGCATTGATCGTCGCCTCTGTGGTGGGTCTGGCCGAGCTGTACGTCATGGTGCGGGTGATGGAAGGAGAGTTGGGAGAGATATAACTGGTGCTTCATCATCAAAGTCTGGAGACGGTTTGGAGGGGCTCCAGGCTCCCAGCTGGCCATCACTGACTCTCGGTGAACCCATCAGGTTCCTTGCACTTGACTTTGGATAGTCAGGGCCAAGCACAGGCTACCTACTGTTTCTGTGGGGAGCCCCATCATCTGTCAATTGCCAGAGGGGGCAGTAGAGGAGACTCAGCCAACAACTGCAAAGAACTGGTCTGTCAGTACCTCCTCCTGGTCTGCCCTCTACAGTCCATTCCGGGCACTGCTGGCACTGGGGTTTTCCATCCGGAGTAAATACAACACAGGCTTTCCCAGCAGCAGATCATACCACCTGAAGTTGCCCACGTGCACAAATCAGTCATCATCCCTGCTCCACACGTCCTTGATGCTGACCTACAACTTAGCTCTGAAACTTCCAAGAAAGCAAAAAGGATTTCCTTTCTCCAGGTTATGCTGGAAGAAGTACTGATCAGAGAACACCAAATAAGAGAAACATGAGGGGTACAGGATGCTGGGATTGGAAGTAAGGCAGCTACCTTTTTGCAATCTTAGTTTCTATCTTCATCCTCTTCCTTCTGCTTGCCTTTTTCAGGTTTTCTGTGTGCTTCTACCTGTCTCTACCATCCACCAGGCCTCCCTAAACTTCCCACCTTGTTTCCTTTGCTCTGCCTCCCAAAATGAAAACAATATTGGCCCTAGCTGATGTGGTTCAGTGGATTGAGTGCCAGCCTGTAAACCGAAGGGTTACCAGTTCGATTCCCAGTCAGGGCACATGCCTGGGTTGCAGACCAGGTCCCTGGTTATGGGTGTGTTAGAAGCATGCAACCAATTGATATTTCTTTTCTCCAACCTCTCTTTTTCTCTCCCTTTCCCTTTCTCTAAAAATAAAATCTCTAAGGAAAAAAATAATTTAGATGGCAAAACAGTGTATCTGCTTGTAATTGCAAAATCCCTTGTACTTGTATTTGTAGAGAGAGTGCACCTACTGTGGATTGTCTCAACTAGTAAAGGGAGGGACAGGGACAATTTTCAGACTAACTATATGTATGAATATGAATAAACATGCACATGAATATGTATACATTTTTATACATGAGCCTAACTATAGGATGTTTAATATGTGTTCATAAACATGTTTGGGTGTTTGAAAAACAGTATGTAAATGCTCACAGTTGAGTCATTGTTTTGTGCGGTTGCTTTTGGTCTTTCCAACAACCTAGGGTTTGGAAAAGGAAGTGTCTTTGAACCCTTTTCCAGAAGACAGAACTGAGGCAGAGAGAGAGATCAAATGGCCCGCTGTGGTCCTCCCTCTGTTAAATGGAGCCAAAGACTCCTGGGTGGTCCTGAAGTCTCTGTGTGATGTTAAATTTCTGGAACTTAGATTGGTGGTGTGATGACAGAATCTGTATAAGGCACTTAGAAAACGATCTCAGCATCAGTTATTTATCCAATAAATATTTGTTGTATTCATTGTACTTTTATTTCAAATCGGTGACAACACAAAAGCCCAAAAAGTCTCAGAGCTATAAAAAGCCCAGATTTTTATAGCTCTGAGAGTTGTGCAGGGTTGCTCCTAATGGTGGACTCCATCTTTTTTCATCTGTTCACTGCATGAGCTCCTGTGGGGCCCCTGCACTCCCACCCCCGCCCCAGGCACTCTGCTGTTCTTAGAAATCAGCTCAGGAGACATTTCCTCAGCAGTATTTGCCAGTTTCTTCTGGATATAGAGCAAGTCTGAACCTCTTAGGACAGTGTTCTACATGACAGGGAGGTTTTAGGCCATCGCTTTGTTGAGAAATCTTAGGATTTCCATTGTTGGTTGACAGAAATGAAAACAAAAAAAATGCAGGTGGCATTTTACAGTGTTTTAAGATTAAGTTTAAAAAAGCTCTGTGGAGGCCCTGGCTGGGTAGCTCAGTTGGTTAGAGTATCGTCCCCATATGCCATGGTTGGGGGTTCAATCCTAGGTCAGGGCACATATGTCTCCAAGGGGTGGGGGACATAAATAAGCAAAATAAATCAATGTTTCTTTTGCTCCCCCGCACCTGAAACTTTAAAACATTTCTTTTAATGCTTTGTGGAGATTCTGGCTCTGCTTCCCTGTGCTGAGCTCTGTGGGCCAGGGCGTCCCCATGCTTCTCATGATGAGATTGGGGTTGTTCCACACACGCACACCTGTCATTAGAGTGTGGTCTTTCTCTGATCCCAACTCCCAAGGCCACAAGCCACAAGGCTCCTGTGGCCTTGAGCACTTACTGAAACCTCCCTTACGGGCCAAGTCCTGTGCTAGCTCCTGGGGACAGAGGTAAACGGCCTAGTCCCTGCCAAGCAAATGGCCACTGCGCAAGGTAGTTTCAGTCTGCAGGGGCACAGTTAGAAATAAGACTCGGGTGACTGTCTCCTGTTCTCACCACAGGAAACGGAATTCAGTCTCCCCTCAGTCACTTCTGCCTCACCAGACCACGCTGTCTCTGGTGCCATCTGAGTCCAGGGCTTCCCAGGGGGAAGTGGGAGTCCTTGGCAGGAGGCCCAAGGAACAGGGAGTTTGGGGCCTCCCCAGTTCCCCGTGGCCTGCTGTATGGAGAGGGGAAGGGAACTGGATTGTGTTGAGAGCTTCCACATGTCACACATATGAAGCTCTTCACCTGCATTATTGCTCTCATTTCCAAAATGGGGAAGAGACAGTATTATCCCCACTTTCAGGCTCAGAGACTTTGAGAGAGTTGCAGGGTTACATAGCAAAGTCAGGATTTGAATCCGATTGCAGACTCCATGCTTTCCTCTGAAGCAGAGCAGCTCCAGCTGGACTGGCCATCAACCAGTGGAATCCGGAGCCGGGTTGCCAGCAGAGGTTACCATCTCTGCAGGATCTGAAGAGCCCTAAACCCTTCAATTAACTGTTCCTCTTAACTAATCCCAACAGAAGCCTGGGTAATACCTCCTACCCAGCCTATTTAGGGATTAGGTGATGGAGACAAATTTCAAAAGCAAACAACCCTCTGCCACCCTCCCGCCCCATTCATTTGCATTACACAACAATCCAGATTAAGGTACAGAGGTAGGGTTTTATTTGGAGATTAGTTGGTATTACAGATGACCTGATACCGAAACCCCTGTGCCTTGCACTCCCCACCCTGCCCCACCCTAAATCCAGCAGGTTGTCTCTACAGCCTCAGATCGGAGGGCAGCCAGTCTGATCTTGATGAAAATTAAACCGCTATAAGCTCCAAGCTCCTATTTCTACTTTATTACTTTAATATCACTTCATCTTCAGATCCATGGTTTGGATTTAATTTGTCCAGGTGGTAGGAGGTCAGGAGAGCCCCTCAACTTTGAAAGGGCCAGTCCCTTGCAGTCTAGAATTAGGGTTAGCACACTCTCATCTCACTCACTCAGCAGTTAGTTGCTGACCTGAAGGTCACGGGCAGCTGCCCATTATCTTAAAGGGAGGAGGTGTCTTTGGCTTGGGTGAGAAGCATTGGGGACCAGGTCTGGCAGGAGAGGTGGAGAACGTGGCCCCGTGCCTCATCCCTCTGAGGGTGCTTCCTGCCAAGACAGTGGGCACATGTCCCAGGAGGAGGTGCAGGGTCCTGGGGAGCAGGAGCCAGGCCCCAGTCACTCCATAGGATCCCCATCTAGGCTGGCCCACAACAGTGGAAGGGAGGGATTCCTGAGCTAAACTTCCTGTAAGAGAGCACCCTTGTGTGAAAGTAGGGGGTCAGGGATCCACTTCTGATGTGTTCAGTCCTAAGGGGAAGGTGGGCTACAGGAGCTAGAGGTGGGGGTTTGTGGGTCCTGGACCTAGATTAGGAGTGGTCTGTGTTGGTCACAATGGCCGAGGCATAGATGAGGTCAGACAGGCTGCCCAGTGAGGTCTGGGGAGTAGCTTGTTCTGAGGAAAGGGGGACCCCTGCAGCCCCAGCTGACCCCAGTGGAACTGCAGCTTGAACCCTCACCCGGCCCGGCCCTGGCCCCAGGCTTGGAGCTGGACGGCAGGCATGCCAACACCCTGAGGAGCACCGAGACGCGCTGCCGGGGAGTGGGAGCCAGCCTAGAGTTCGGGGCTCCCGGGGCTGCTGGGGGCTATCTGGAAGAGAATTTGGCCTATGCGGGGGTTCAGGCCTGGGGCTTAGGCCTCCTGACTTCCTATTCTTGATCCTCTTGGCCCGCCGATTCTGGAACCACACCTGGTAAAGGAAGAAGAAAGGGTCTTTTCTGGCTCCAGCACCCCTTCCCCACCCAGTACAGGACAAGCAGAACCCAGAAGCAGGATACCCAGGGAGAAGGAGCTGTGGGCCAAGACCAGAAGCTGGCTGTGTGAGAGTACCCCACCCTGAGAGGGGGTCATAGCTCACCTGTATCTTGGCCTCGGGAAGGCAGGTGACCCGGGCCAGATGCTCACGAGTGCCAATGTCAGGGTAGGGCCGTGCTGCGAACACCCGCTCCAGCTCCAGCAGCTGCCCTCTGCTGAACGTGGTCCGCCTTCTCCGGTGTGGACCCAGCCCACCGGCATGGCCTGTGGGCCGGTGTGGGGGTCGGGGCCAAGACTCCCTTTGAGAGCTCCCCCCGACCTCAAAGCCCACAGCAGCCCCTGAAGCATCTCCCCACCCAAATTTCCCCCATCACATACTCCCCACATCCTTCCCCTGACCACCATTTTCCCACCAGGTCACCTGTTGGAGATGCATCCACAGGGCTGGCCATGGAGCTGACAGAGAGTGAGGAGCCAGAGGGCCATGCCAAGGCTGTGCCTACCCCACACTCCTCCATTTGGGGTTTTATCCGGCTCAGAGGGATGGCCCCGCCTCCAGGAAGGGAGAGGTTTACCGTCCAGCTTGAGAGAGGCAGAGAAGTCCAAGAGGAAAGACGGCTGGCCAGGTGCAGTGTTGGGGCTTGGCAGGATATGGGTAGGGCAAAAGTTTGGGGGCCCTTGTTCCTTCAGGGCTTCACAAAGGAAGCTAGTCTCAGCCCCCTCCTTGAACTGCAAATTCGGGCAGTCTGTCTATAACCTTGGTACTACGTGAAAATTCTCCAGGACTCCTTCCGGGAAGCCAAAGCGATACCTCCCTCCAGTGCTCGCAGTGCTCCGCCTGCCCCTCTGGAGTACTCAGCCCTGACGCTGGCTGCCTTCAGGGAAGAGTGGGTGGGTGGGGCCCTGTCCCACAGCTGGAGGCTGCTAAGGCTGGACAGGGTGTGGGGGACGACAGGGGACAGCAGATGAGCGGGAGCCACCCCACCCTCAGAAGGGCTGGGGAGCAGCTGTTGCCACCGGATCTCCCTCAGCTCTGCTTTAGAGCTTTGCCCACATCTAACCCTTCCTCCCTGGCCCCTCGAAAGCATGGGTGGGCTTCCTACACTCCAGGACCCTGAAACCAGAGGTTGTAAGGGGTTTTAAGAAAGATGTTTTTACAGTGTACTCGTCCTTGGAAATCTCCTGGGCCACTTTCTAACAGAAGTACGTACATTTGAATTCCCCTTGAGTCCCTGCCCTCCCTATCACTCCTAACCTCAGACCCTAGACCCAAGACAGAGTCCTCAAAGAAGGCCTTGTCTAGGGGTGGGTTCAGGGGAGCACGGTGACCAGCTCCCCAGAGACTTGGGTGTCTGACCTGGCCACACTTCAGGCACAGGATGGCCAGAAAACATCTGGAACCCCATCTCTCCCACCCGCCTCTCTCCTCCAAGACCCTAGACTTCAGTTCCAAGCTGTAAAGCAAGCTCAAGATTGAGAGGGGACTCGCAGTAAATCCTGGCATCATCAGAGAAGTTCAAGCTCCTGCATAAATGCTGGTGGCTTGTTGAGGGCGGCTCAGCTCAGGAAGAGGGCGGGCACTCACGAGCCTTCCCCAGCCTATAGCTTCTATGGTTCATGAAGAGCACCTGAGCCCAACGAGGGCTAGACACAGAGAGGCCCTTCTCTGTCCCCTCCTCCAAGCCATCCTGACAGCCCAGCTTCCCCTCCTTCACCCAGACAGATCCCTGCCTCCTGCCTGTCTACCCCAGTCAGGACAGTAGTCTTAAACTCAGAGTCAAGGGATCTTTATTGAGCTGCGAGGAGGAGGTGGGAGGAGGGAGCAGCGGAGGAGGGCCAGCTGTATGGACTCAGACTCCTACTTCTGACCAGGGGCTGGGCAGCCCAACCAGTACTGGGCGATGTTACGCGGGTAGGGAGGGCTCACGGTGTCCACTCGCCGAGTGCGGAGGTTGACTCGGTAGTACTGGTCTGGAAGAGAGGTTGGGAGAGAGTGCGTTAGACCCAGTCTGGCCCTACCCACTCCTGCCCCGAGAAGGAAGACCCAGGTCCCTCCTGGAATGATAAGTGAACACCACAGTGCAGCCAAGGACTCCTGGCCTGGCTTTCTGGGGTCACTGCTCAAGGGCTGCGTTCAGCTCATGGGAACCAGAGAGAGCAGGGAGGACCACTGCTAAACCAGCTAGAGAGGTGGCAGGGGCTCCCACCTCCTGAGAAAAAGTAGACACTCTGGGTGGGCTTGCAACTGGAAGGCACAAGGAAGTCCATGTCGTAGTCATAGTTGTAGTTGTAGGTTCCTAGGTCACTGTCCTCACTGGATAACCAGGACAGCCAGGATGAACGGGACTTCCGGTTGGAGTTCTGGCTGCGGCCACGGCTGCGACCACGGCGTGATCCGTAGCGTTTGCGGCTGAGGCTGCGGCTGCGGCTGCGACTCTTAGTCTTAGCACTCTTGAGCCCAGAGGAGCGGAGAGCTGAGCCTGAGACGTAGATCCTGCCAGCCATGGCCGCATCCACTTGCTCGGGCACACCAGGCCAGTCCCGGCTAATAAACCCCGGCTCTCTGGCACCACCTGTGGCAGGGAAGGGGTTAGTGGGAGCCTTGAGAGCCTGGACCCTGCCCCCAGCAGGGAGGGCCTTTAGAGTTGTCCAAGGACACACAACAAGCTAGTGGCAGCGCCCTTTCCCCTGTCCTCCCTCCACCATATCCCTCCCCATTTGCCTCAGCCACAGTCCCTCCTCCTGCTGGCTGTGCCCTTGGCTGTGCTAGGCAAAGTCCAAGGTGTGGGGTCCAGGTGGAGGCAAGCCTTCCCCCAGAGGTGAAAACAGATGCAAAGTCTGGCCTGAGCAAACAGCTTTTGATCGATAGCTCTCCAGTCACAGCCCCCTCTGGCCAGCCCAGTCCTCCCCGACCCCGGGAACCCCAGCCCTCTGGAAGGGAAAACAAGCCCCGTCTGCCCTCCATACCGGAGGATTTGTCCCAGAAGAGGAGCTCAAAGATCTCCTCCCAGCTGTCCCGCTGCAGCAGGGCAAAGTGTTCAAACACGGCTGACAGGGCACTGCCTTCACACTCCTTCCGACTGGGCTGCTGCTGGAACTCGTACTCCCAGTACTGTTTCCCTGGGGAGGCAGTAGCACGCATAAAGCTGGAAAGCCCGGAGGCTGTTGAATTAGGAGCTGGGGGGGGGGGGCGGGGGTGCATCATCTAAATCTGTCCCCAGTGGAGTAGGAGAAAAAACAGAGACTGTTCCACTGCCTGCTCACTCTCCCCTCCACCCCCTGAGTACCCTTGAAGAAGTAGACCCGCTCTCGTCCACTGTAGCTGTGAGCAGGGAGGGCCAAGGCTGCATCCACATTGTCCGGAATGCCCTGGAAGCCTTCGGAGATGTTGTGGGGGTAACCGGGGTCCAGGATGCCATCCTCGAAGCGCCAGTACTGACTACCCTAAGGGGCAGGGAAAGAGGAAGGAGGTGAGGAGGTGGCACAGAGGCAGAGTCCCCCATCAGAGGCAGCAGTCTCAGTTCTAGGCTGGTCACCCTGGACCTGGAACCTTGGGCCTCCCTTTCCTCAGAGAGCCCCAGCCAGGGACCACAGGCTGGTATTCAGATTTCTTGCCAACCCTGGTCCTGGGCACAATGGCCGTAATTCTTGCCTGGATACCCTTGACCCTGAACCACAGTCCCTGGGCCTGGCACCTTAAAGAGGTAGGTCTTCCCCTGACAGTTGATGCGGGTGAAGGCAGCATCAATGGGGCCCTCTATACCCCAGACGTCTCGGATGAGCTTGGGGTACCCAGGCTTCACTGCCTCTTCATCCAGCTCATAGCAGTACCGCCCTGGAGTGGAGGAGGCTGTGTGAGGGAGGGGATGTTCCTGGGCAGACCCCCACCCTCAAGAACTGCCCCTGGAGTCACCTCGGAAGGCAAAGAGGGAACCATTCTTGAGGTCAGTGAAGGCATCAAGGGGCTTCCCACTGCACAGCTCCTCTGCTGACGACTCTAAGATCCCTGGATCAGTGGTCGTGGGTCCTGGGGCCTCCTGTCCTGGTCCCGGGACCTCTTCCTCAGGGTTCTGAACAGGTGCCTCCTCCTGAGTCAGTTCAAACTCAGCCTGCAGGTCAGAGCTGAGGTTGACGCGCTCTGCCTGCATGTGGACACTGACGTCGGTCCTCTCGGTATAGTCGTGGACCCCATAGTCATCTTCTGGCAGAGTGAACACGTCCCCACGAGTCACTGCAGGCAGGGAGGGGGGTGGTGAGTCTCCAGCTGCAGAGAGCACCCCAGGCTCACCCAGCCATTCTGAACGCACCTTGAGGCTTGCACTCAGCCATGTAGTCAGCACAGCAGCTCTGGTAGTAAGAGCAGAGCTCGTCACACTGACACTTCCTGTCAACGTTGAAGCCCTCGGTGCAGCGGTCCTTGCATGACTCTGTGGGGAGGGGGTATCAGCTGGCACAGTCAAACCCAGACCACCCTTGCCCAGACCACCCTTGCCCACCCTATTGGCCCAACTGTCCACCCACACCCTCCTGCACCTTGGTCAGCCACAACAACCCACGCCAGCAGTGCCAGCATCAGAAGGGGCCTTGGGGGTGCCATGGCAGGGCTTCTAGCCATGAGCCTGGCTGCTGGGTTCTGTGCTCTCTGCTCTCTGCTCTCTGCTCTGTTGCCTGAGAAGAGGAGGGAGAGGCAGGACGGAGAGGGAGGGAGGGAGGGAACCAGAGAAGAAGAGCTGCCTTTTCTGCTGCTGTTTGTTCAACCTCCAGCCCAGCCCCTAGTGCCCTGATGCCCAGAGGTTGCCTTAGTGCAGGGTCACGGTCCTGAAACTCTGGGCCTGGGAGAGCAGGATCACTGCCAAGCTCAGGGTCACCTCAGAAGAGGACTAGCACAGTGGGCCGGGAAGGCAGAAAGGAAGTCCACTCTGCCACTTACTGGTTGTGTGACCTTGGGCTAACACTGCCTCCGCGGGGTTTGTTTGTTTGTTTGTTTTGGTAAAATGAGACTAATAATACTTGCTTCATGGGGCGTTTGGAGATTACATGAGCAGAAAAAAAGATCCGGTGCCTGGAGTAGCCCCAACTTCATTCTCCATGAATCGTATTGATCCCTGGTCTGTTTGATCAGGCACGTCCCTGGTCGTGTGGCTCATCTGCCCTTTGTGTATTTAGGACAGTGAAGGGGGAGGCTAGGAGGAATGCTGGTAAGCACCCTGGGGAAATCTTTTTATTGTGAAAGAACAAAGTTTCATTTCTAGCTTCATCTCTTGGGTGAATTGATTTCCCCAAGCTGGCCTTCACAACACAGTAAGTTGGGTGAACATTAATCCTTCGGACTGGATTTGATTTCTGAGTCTTTGGCTAATTCACTGCTCCTGAGCAGGCCATTCCCTGTCCCCGCCCTCAGTCTCCCCGAGGGTAAAGAGTGGTCTAGTTCCCCGCTCTTCCAGACCCTCTGGGCAGTAGGCTCCCTGGAGCCGGAAAATGCCCTAGCACAGAACGCCAGATATTGTGCCTCCTTTCAGGGGTCCGCAGAACTCCTGAAGTCTTCCCACCACCCGGAGGAAGTGACCTCAAAGCTTCCAGCTGATTTTTTCTGTTCTGTAATCAGAGGGGAGTGTGACTTTGGCAATCTCTTTTCTATGGGTCTAAGTCGGTTCCTTTGTTAAATGGGAACACTAATTCCTACCTCATAGGCAGGTTGTAAGGCTTAACTGGGAAACAGGTGTAAAGGGCTTCAAGAGTTGTACAGAATCGTTATTAGGATCGCTTTAACCACTAGCAGGCGAGGGAGCACACTCAACGGTGCGGCTTGCCCTCCCATACCAGCATCGCAGTTGGAACCGAGGCAGTCTTCTCGCTCTCCAATCCCTAGGGTCCCCCCTGCACCCAGAAGGGCCCGGGGATGAGACCAGGGAGAGGCCTGACCCGGGCGTGGGCGTGTCAGGGAAGGCTTGGGGGTGGTCTTCGCAGGAGGCAGGGGCGGAGCCCCGCGAGGCCCAGAGGCGGGGCGTCGGCTCCGGGTCTGCCGCTTCTCAGGGGCGGGGTTGCTGCCGAGCACCTACGCGGGCAGTGCCTGAGCTGGAGCCTGGCTTTGTTCTGGTTGCTGCCTCGACATCCTCCGGCGTCCGGTCCGTACTGTCGCCTCCAGCTCCCTCCTCCCGCCCATCCCCCTGTGTCTGGGCCTGCATCCCCTTTCCTAACCGCTCCATCCCAGATCCTGCCCTCACCCTTCCGCAAACTCCTGGCCAGCGCCCTTGCCTGGTACCCTTCTCTCCATCCCTCCCTCCTGCATCTTCTCCCCCCGACCTCCTCTTGGGTCCCTCTCTCCCAGGGTGCGGGTCGCTTCCCTCGGCCCCGCCCCTCCAGACCAGGGATGTCCCCAGCAGCCCCGCTCCGATGGTCCTGACGCTGCTCCTTTCTGCCTACAAGCTGTGCCGCTTCTTCGCCATGTCAGGCCCACGGCCCGGAGCCGACCGGCTAGCAGTGCCGGGGCCGGACGGGGGTGGCGGCGCGGGTCCCTGGTGGGCCGCGGGCGGCCGCGGGCCCCGCGAGGTGTCGCCCGGGGTGGGCACCGAGGTGCAGGGTGCCCTGGAGCGCGCGCTACCCGAGCTGCAGCAGGCGCTGTCGGCGCTGAAGCAGGCGGGTGGTGCGCGGGCCGTGGGCGCCGGCCTGGCCGAGGTCTTCCAGCTGGTAGAGGAGGCCTGGCTGCTGCCGGCCGTAGGCCGCGAGGTAGCCCAGGGTCTGTGCGACGCTATCCGCCTGGACGGCGGCCTTGACCTGCTGTTGCGGCTGCTGCAGGCGACGAAGCTGGAGACGCGAGTGCAGGCCGCGCGCCTGCTGGAGCAGATCCTGGTGGCTGAGAATCGGTAAGTGTTCCGGGAAGGGGGGTGGGGGGAGAGCGCCGCGTGGTGCGGGGCAGCAAGGGCGGTCGGGTGCCTGGGTCTCCCATGTGCCTTGCCCTGTGCCTTCCCTTCCTCACTTCACCAAATCCCTGCACCACATCCCTGGTGGGGACCAACGTGTCTGTTTTACAAAGTTAAGCGACTTGCCCAGCTTCACACAGTGAACTGAAGGTGTAGCCAGGACTCATTCCCAGGGCTGGTGAGGCGAGGAATGGGACAGGGAGAGGAGGAATGGCCTGCTGGTAGGACAGGAGTTTGTCTCTGCTTCTGAGGATGGAGATGGAATCTTATTGCCAATGCCCCCCCTGAGGCCACAGCCTTCCTCCCCACAGGCCCACCCCAGTGCCCTTATATGCTACCTTCTCCCTCCTATACCATGGCCCTCCCACTGAGAGAGGGAGAGAACCCAATGCTCAGGAAATGGGAGGAGGTGAGCTCTCCCCTCTCTCCCCAGGCTGAAATGAGCGCCAGTCTAAGGGTTATTTGCCCCCTTCATGCCAACCCAACTCCACCTCCCGATTCCTCCTTCTTCATTTTGGTGCATGTAACAGGCCAGACATGATCTCATTCTGCAGCTGCTGATAGGGATCAGAAGGTTTTCTGCTGGGACGCACGGGTGCGGGAAGAGGAAAGTGAGGTGGGGAGCTAGGCTGGCACCAGACACAGAATGTGTTCTTCGCCCCTGTCCCACACTGAGTCATGATACAGCGTTCGGGGCCGACGAGGACTGGCTGCCACTCTCTTGCCTGGCTCTTGGGATTTCCCCTAAAATGTGATGGCCCCCAGCTCTCACTCCATCTCTTCTCTGATGCCAGAGAGGATCAGGCTGTCACACTCCAGTCTCATGCTGAATCCCTGGGCCCCTCAGGTTTAGAAGGGTTTGGGAAGGGTCACGTTCAGTTCCTGCAGCTTTCACGAGTGTGATGGTCATAGGTTAGGGTGGCTTTCCAAGCCACTTTGAAAAGTAACAATGACTTTGTGGGTGGTGGCAATGATACAACTCTCAAAAAAGTGCGAACAAAACAATTTAAATTGGGAAACCAGGTTAGGGTTCTGCTTGTCCAGTGCATCATTATCTCTCACCTAACATCAGGGACCCCGGTGGGGATGGACCATAAATTTAAAGAGCTAGCAAACAAAGTGGGAGCTCACCGAATGTGTGGGCCCTTGTCGGTGGGTGTGCCCTGTAGGCCTGGTATGTGGAGCGGGACAGCTGAAACTAGAACTCCTGGGGAGCAGGAGCAGCCAGCACCCTGGGAAGAGGGGAGCTACAAGATGCGAATAGCGCTGATATTTTTCAAGGCTGAAAATAACAGGTCCCATGTGGTTCAGAATTACTGAGAGGAGCGTCACTCCAATCAGTGTCCCTGGTCCCAAGAAACCACATACTGGTTCAGGCATCAGTTCTGGCATTGCTTCAGGACCAAGGACAGAGCCCAGGGCATCTAGTGGGGATCAAAATCCTTCCAAAGAAAGAAATTCCTTGCCCTTCTAGACTGTGCAGGGGGGAGTCTGGAAGGGAAAAAAAAGAGGGGGCAACACGCAGATAGTTTGTATTTATCAACTCTTTTTCTTCTTCTACCAACCAACCTTCTGTTAAAGAAGGTACTTCCTTCCATCAGTGCACCCACTCCTTTTGCCTTTCCCTGTCCTGCCGCTCTCGTCTCCCCAGGGTGTTGCCACACCCACCTCCCAGGAGTCCGCGTTATTGGAGAAGTCCATCAGGATAAGGCCCTCTGAGCTGGGTCCCACAGCATGCAGTGAAGGCCCCATCTGACTGCCGGCCCTCTGAATTCACAGCCTAGCCCATGCGGGGAGCATACTGAGGTTAAATGGTTTAACTTAGAGAGGTTAAATGTTTTGTAGCTTTTTGTTTTTTGTTTGTTTGCTTTTTAAGAATACGCAGTGAATAAGTGGAAGAGACAGGTTTTTTTAAAACTCAGAAAGCTATTGTTCATAAAATTTTAAAGTGCAAAGGTCCAAAAAAGATATGTATTTACAGTTCTTTCCCCCAGACCCCCTCCCTGGTGACAAACTAGTGAAACAAGTTTCTTATACATCCTTTCAGAGAGTCTATGCATATACAAGCATTTACATGTAAACACATACACACACACTTGAATATGTGTGCTTATGTACAACTTCTCCTTCCTTTGGAGCGGGCATTTGAACCCAGACCCACAGCCTCTCGGGCTGCAGAAGAACTGGGAGCTGAAGGAATAGTTCTCGCAACAAGCACACAGTTCAAGTTCTGTAAAGGTGCAAGTGCCTTTTACAGGCACAGGAGAGGGCCATGGGTCGAGGGACTCGGGATAAAGCCCTCTCTCTGAACTGATGTTCCTGAACAAGCCCTTTCCTTCGCTAGGAAGTGAGGATGTTGTGTTAGATGACTGCTTGAGCATATCCTGGTTCTGATATTCTCAGAATGCATGTAGTCAGATTGTTCTGGAAGCACAAAATACAGACAAAGGATTTTTTAAAAGATTTTATTGCCCTGGCTGGCATAGCTCAGTGGATTGAGTGCAGGCTGTAAACCAAAGCATGGCAGGTTCAGTTCCCAGCCAGGGCACATGCCTGGGTTGCAGGCCATGGCCCCAGCTACCGCACATTGATGTTTCTCTCTATTTCTCCCTCCCTTCTCCTCTGTCTAAAAATAAATAAAATCTTTTATTTTATTTTATTTATTTATTTTTAGAGAGGGAAGGGAGGGAGAAAGAAAGAGAGAGGGAAACATCAATGTGTGGTTGCCTCTGTGTGCCCCCTACTGGGCACCTGGCCCAAAACCCAGGCAGGTGCCCTGACTGGGAAATCCAACTGTGACCCTTTGGTTCACAGTCCAGCACTCAGTCCACTGAACCACACCAGCCAGGGCAGGATCTTGAACTCTGAAGACAGACAAATGTGAGTTCAAATCCCAGCTGTCCTTCTCACCAGCTGTGTAACCCTGGGCTTGTCATGTACCCTGCCCAAGCTTTGGCTTTCTCATTGGGAAAAGGAGCAACTGTGGTGCCAGCTATCCAGGTGGATGATTAGGACCCACCTGTTCCTTTGGACTGCAGAGAAGCTCAGTGATCAGCTCAGCAAAGCATTGCTGGCTTTATGCCATGTTCTGTGCTCAGCTGGGCTCTGCAGTGGACATAAAGTCACAGGCACTGTGGTCGTTGTGGCACTCACTGGGCAAGGACTCCATGGTTCGCTGGGTCTCTGAGCCTTTGGTCACCTGTGGAGGCCATCATTTGTGAGGTCAGGAAGACAGCAAACTTTCTCCTTTTCCTGGAGTGTGGCATCTCTACTGCGTGCTCTGCTGGCCTAAAGGTTTTCTCCCTTGGACCTGTCCTCCCCACAGCAGCCAGAGCGAGTTTCCTAAAACCCATGTGTGACCATGTCACTCCCCTTCCTGGAGCCTTTCAATGACTCCTTATTGCCATCCAGATAAATGCGTGAGAGGTCTCAAACGGCCTCCAGGCTCCTTTCTCACTCTCCCCTTGAACCCTCACCTCAGCCTCTTGAAGTGGTTTCACTTCAGCATGGCTGAGGGCGGGGGACGGGCAGGTCCCCAACTACATCAGCCCTCAGGTACCTCCAAGCCTTTTCATGCACCTATGCCTAAAACCTCCCCTTTTGTTGACTAATGTCCCCACCATCTTTCTCACTTAATCCCACAGGCAACCATTCAATACATTTAATGTGTGTCTTTCTATCTGTGTTCTGGTAAGACCTTTGTTCGTGTTTTGTGCGTATACTTTTAATTTACACAGATTGTGCTGTGTTATATAGATCATTCTGTTTCTCACTTTTCCCTACTTAGTGTTGTGTTAGGATCTTTCATGTCACTGTGTTATCATCTGCTTGGTTACCTGTAGCTGCTCCATAGTCCTCCAGACTGGGCACCTCTCCACTCTCCCAGGTGTGACCCTGGACTGTGCCTAGTTTCTCCCGCCACAAATAACACTGCAGAGAATGGCCTTGGCTATGTCCCTTTGTGGATTTGGTTGGAATCTCTTTGGGACAGAAACTCAAGATCCCCAGTTTCTTGCTTATAGAACATGTGTCACCTTAATCTCACCCACACACCCCAGCCTGCCCTCCAGATTGACTGCCCCAGCCTGCACCTCCCACACGGAGCTTCAGGAAGTTCATGGCCCCACACTGCCCCAGCCGTTACTGTTACCCAGCTTCTGCGGTTTGCCTGCCTAATATGTGTAAAGTCATTGCTGTTTTAATTTCTGCCCCCTAATTACTAAAGACTTAGAGCATCACTTTGTTAACATCTTGGATTTCCTTTTTTTGTAAATTGCTTGTTTATATCCTTTGCCCATTTTCTCTTGAATGTACTACCTTTTTCTTGTGGATTAGAATATTTATTTATATATTCTATATATGAATCCTTTGTTGGTTTTCTCTTTTTCCTTGTTCGTTCTGGACATTGCAAATATCTCTGGCCTTCTTTCTGTTCATCAAACACACCAAGCCCATCAGCCCTTGGGGCTTTTGTCCTGGCCATTCTCTCTGCCTGTTGTATTCTCCCAGATCCTTGCAGGAGCACTCTCTGGATATTTAACCTTCAGATGTATCCCTGCACCGGCTCTCTCCATTACATTGCCTGGTTTTGCAATCATTATGGCCATGTCACTATTATCCCGTTAATTCATTGTTTACTTGCTTATTGTTTATCTCCATATTAGCTCAATCACTCTTAGCCACTGTTTAACTTCAGCCCCTAGCACAGTGCCTGGCACACAGTGATTCTCAATAAATGTCTGTTGAATGAATGAATAAATACTCCCAGCCACACCGCATGGAGTGAAGAGAAGTTGAAGGCAAGGCTAAGAGTGGTGTGCTTCAAGTGACACTTCAAATGATGATAACATCATCACTTATTCATTCTTTCCTATGTGCCAGGCACTGTGTCAGGCACTTTATAGGGATCATCACATTCATTCTCATAACAATCCTGTAGAGTAGGTATTTTTAAAATCCTATTTGAGATGAGTAAATTAAGGTAGAAAGATAAACCAAAGTCCCGCAGCTAGAAAATGGCAAATATTTTGAAACCAGAACTCAGGGGATCTGCTCCAGAGCTAGATTTCTTTTCTTTCTTTCTTCTAAGATTATATTTATTTATTTTTAGAGAGAGGGAAAGGGAGGAAGAAAGACATGGAGCAAAACACCAATGTGTAGTTGCCTCTCGCACACTCCATGCTGGGGACCTGGCCAACAACCCAGACATGTGCCCTGACTGGGAATTGAACCAGCGACACTTTGGTTCACAGGCTGGCACTCAATCCACTGAGCCACACCAGCCAAGGCAGAGCTAGATATCTTAACCAGGACCCGTGCAGCTTCTCTAGGGGAGGGTATACGGAAGGAAATGGGTGTGGCCAGGAGGAAGCACCCTTATAATCCGAGAAGTCTGGTCCTGCCAGGCAAGAGGAAGGAGGGAGGCAGGGAGCACAATGCTCTCCTTCTTGTCCTATATGACCCCAGTGAGGCCCACAGAGTATAAGTGAACGGGGTTCAAGCCAAGCACTGCAGGCCTGGCTACTGCACCATTCTTCCTCCACTTTCTCTCTGCAGGGACCGGGTGGCGCGCATCGGGCTGGGCGTCATCCTGAATCTGGCAAAGGAGCGTGAGCCCGTAGAGCTGGCGCGGAGTGTGGCAGGCATTTTGGAGCACATGTTCAAGCACTCGGAGGAGACGTGCCAGCAGCTGGTGGCGGCCGGCGGCCTGGACGCGGTGCTGTACTGGTGCCGCCGCACCGACCCGGCGCTGCTCCGCCACTGTGCGCTGGCGCTGGCCAACTGCGCGATGCACGGGGGCCAGGCGGCCCAGCGGCGCATGGTGGAGAAGCGCGCTGCCGAGTGGCTCTTCCCGCTCGCCTTCTCCAAAGAAGACGAGCTGCTGAGGTTGCACGCCTGCCTCGCAGTGGCGGTGCTGGCCACCAACAAGGAAGTGGAGCGCGAGGTGGAGCGCTCCGGCACGCTGGCGCTCGTGGAGCCACTCGTGGCCTCGTTAGATCCCGGCCGCTTCGCCCGCTGCCTGGTGGACGCTAGCGACACAAGCCAGGGCCGCGGGCCAGACGACCTGCAGCGCCTAGTGCCGCTGCTCGATTCCTCGCGCTTGGAGGCGCAGTGCATTGGGGCTTTCTATCTGTGCGCCGAAGCTGCCATCAAGAGTTTACAGGGCAAGACCAAGGTGGGTGCGGGTGTGGTGGGGGCAGGGGTGAGACAGCATCTGGGAAGGCTTTCCAATTCATCTGGGACTTAAGAGTTAGGAGCAAGAAGGATGAGGGACCAGTCATATTGGCCTTAAAGGCAGGACCAAGACACTTGGGTTTTATAAAGATTACCCTGGTGCTGTGTGGAAAGGAATTGGCAAGGGTGAGGTTGGAGACAACGGGGCCAGACAGGAGGCCGTGGCAGGGGTGCAGTTGGGATGGTGGAGGTTGGGACTAGGACAGAGAGTCTGGGAGAAGTGGACAGATCCCAGGTTCCAGGGGTACTGAGGAGCTAAAGTTGGACTTGGTGGGTGGCTGGGTGAAGGAGACGGAGGAGCGGAGGATGTCTCCTGACTTTGGACATAGGCAATCCAGTGGATGGTGGCAACAGGCACTGAAATAAGGTGAACTGGGTGAGAGGCAGTTCGGAGGGGCGGCGGAGAAGAAAGTGACTCCGCTGGGAGATTGAATGTGAGATGCGTGAGAGATGACTGACTGTGGAGCCTCAGTGGGCCATTTGTTGTCTGGGTCTGGAGTCCAGGAAGGAGGTGGAGTGTGGAGACAGAGGCTTGGAGCCGCGTGTCGGCGTGTCAGCCAGACAGCTCCCTCCCGAGTCCCCAGAGGTCCCCATGCCGAGGGCCTGATTTGAAGCCTTTGCCCTCCACTTTAACTTGCTGTGTGAACTTGGCCATCTGGCTTCCCCTCTCCGTGCCCCTATATGTCCCCCATTTAGCCTCTGGAAAGTGGGAAGAGTGGACCATAGCAGCAGTTCTTACCCTGGATGTGGCACTAGTAAGAGTTACATTATCAAAAGTTTGCCTTTTCATTTTTTTTTTAAGATTTTATTCATCCATTTTTAGGGAGGGAAGGGGGGGAGAGAGAGAGAGAGAGAGAGAGAGAGAGAGAGAGAGAGAAACATCAATGTACGGTTGCTGGGGGTTATGGCCTGCAACCCAGGAATGTACCCTGGCTGGGAATCGAACCTGGGACACTTTAGTTCCCAGCCCGCGCTCAATTCACTGAGCTACGCCAGCCAGGGCGCCTTTTCATTTTTAAAAATATTACAGGATCAAGATTATCCCTGTAATGTCACCCCCCCCCACTTTGCACTCCTCTGGGAATTTGGGGACTCGGTGACAGCTGGTGCACAGGGGGTGGCGCACACCCATGAACCATCCTGTCTGTACCACAGCTGTCATCTGGGGCTGCTCAGAGGGGTGCATCCTGCAGATGACTGTCACACTTAGTGGGTGTCCCCTCAGATCAAGGAGACACTTGGTGTTATGGGGTCTCTCAGGCCTCTTCCAAGATCCAGAGTTCTGAAGTTTCTGGCTCTCCTCTCTGTGGCCCAGCACTGGACCAGCGGAGGACGGCTTTACAGAGCAAGTCATTCTGCTTTGGGAGAAGAGCCTTAAAGGGGAGTTGGGAGCAGGGAACTATAGGATCTGGGCAGCAGCCATGACCACCAGCTCCGGCACCCCTACCCAGCAAGGCCAGTGAGTGTAGTTCAGTAAAGACATGGTAAGCCCCCACTCTGGGGCCTGCGGTGTGCCAGGTATGGGATGCAGAGGTGACTAAGACATGACCTCAGCTTATCATCCAGCGGAAACTGCATTGTGAACTAACAACAGTGGCATTCAGAGTGTGGTACAAGGTCTAATGGGAGGTGTGGGCCAAGCTGTTGGGGGAATCAAAGCAGGCTGCACGGAGGAGGTGCTAATCAATTTGGATTACAATGCATGAATAGGATTCTCAAAAACAGGCTGGAAGAACTGAGGGTCTGGGAACACCATGGGTCAAGGCTCAGAGGTGGGAGAGCCTTCGTGGGTGGGTGTCAGACAAGTGGGGGTTGGTGAAAGGGGAAGTGAGCTGGGGGTGATGGAAGGGGTGCACTGCTCCAGGCATACTGAGAGCTCAGACTTTATCCCGGGATGGATGGAGACTGTAGAGGGGAGACATGAAAAGGACCTGCCTGCTCAAGAGCTTTGAGAGAGCTTCCGGGAGAGCAACCCAGAGGCCTCTGTGATTTATCAGATGGAGGCAGGGCTAGGGCAGATGATCCGACTTCAGCAGTGAGAAGAGGCTGGTCACAGGGGAGGGCCTGGGCACATTTGGGGGAGGTTGGCTGAAAGCTGATGGATACAAGACACCCTCTCCTCGCTAGGTATTCAGCGACATCGGTGCCATCCAGAGCCTGAAACGCCTAGTTTCCTACTCCACCAATGGCACCACGTCAGCGCTGGCCAAGCGCGCGCTGCGCCTGCTGGGCGAGGAGGTGCCGCGGCCCATCCTGCCCTGCGTGCCCAGCTGGAAGGAGGCCGAGGTCCAGACGTGGCTGCAGCAGATCGGCTTCTCCCAGTACTGCGAACCTTTCCGGGTATAGCGGCGCAGGGCTGCCACCCCAGAGTCAGAGCCGGCGCATCCCCGGGGACCCTAAGGGCGCGTTGCACAAAGGCAACCTTGCCCCCTCCTGTCTCTCACGCCCGCAGTGCCAGGGTGGCCTTTTGGCGTGGGGAACCAGTACTCAGCAATTTTCAGGATCTCTTGGCTCCAGTGTGGGTCCCATCCACTTCCCTACTGGTTTCACCAGGTCCCTCTCCTTGAATCTTGGGCTTGGGGTCCAGAGCTGAGGAGGAGACCCTTTCCTTCCTCCTTTCTTACCCTTGACCCCACCCCCAGGAGCAGCAGATAGATGGCGACCTGCTTCTGAGGCTCACGGAAGAGGAACTGCAAACCGACCTGGGCATGAAATCGGGCATCACCCGCAAGAGGTACGGAACCCCTGCCCGCCGCCCCATCACCCACCCCCGCCACGCCCAGTCTAAATATCCCCTAGGCCACCACTGGCCAGTCTGAGTCAGGACTTAAGCGTCCTTTCCGCCCTGGCTTGCAGATTCTTTAGGGAGCTCACGGAGCTCAAGACCTTCGCCAACTATGCTACCTGTGACCGCAGCAACCTGGCTGACTGGCTGGGCAGCCTGGACCCACGCTTCCGCCAGTACACGTATGGCCTGGTCAGCTGCGGCCTGGACCGCTCTCTGCTGCACCGCGTGTCCGAGCAGCAGCTCCTAGAGGACTGCGGCGTCCGCCTGGGCGTGCACCGCACGCGCATCATCACGGCCGCTAGAGGTCAGCCTGCTCCATCTCCATCCTGGAGGGGCGGGGCGAGACAGAGGGTGGGGCTTCAAAACCAGACTCCTTGCCAGCCGGCATTCTGAGGATGCAAAGATGAATGTGTTTCACTTTGCCCCCAAGAAGTTCCCAGTCTGAGGTGGGTGGGTAGAGAGGTGGGAGGAAGACAGACATATAAACAGGGAGGTGACCACAATAGGAGGCCTGCCCAGGACTCCAATGGGAGCCTAGAGGAAGCACTGCCTACCCTGTCCCCCCAGGTCTAGGCGTTTAGAGGATGCCTGACCAGGTGAAGGATGTGGGGGGCGGCCCGTGGGGGAGGGCAGCAGCAGGAAGAGCAGGCAGGCAGAAGGAACAGCCTATACACTTGTGAATGAGACCGAGCGTGGAGAGTTCCTACACAGGACATGGGTGGGGAGACACGTGGCTTACTCCATTAGCCAATGGCATACACAGTATGGGTTCTAGAGGTACTTTAGGGAAATCACGAGCGAACCCTAGGGCTCAGCAACCCTCTTCACTGGTTTAATTTACTAATATACTTTTTAGCTAACATTTATTGTCAATTACTATATGTCAGGTCCTGACATTAAGTTTGGAAGAGGTATTATCTCATTAATCTCTACATCCATTTGATACGGTGGGTGTTAACTTTGTAATCAACTTTTTAAAACTTTAAAGAATGAAAGAGGTATAATTGAACTTCAAAGTGTTCACTGCGAAGGGTTTGGGGAAATGCTTGCTACTCGGTAACTGTCATCACAATCAAAGATAAAGAATATTTCCATCAAAGGTGTTAATTTTAAAGATAACAAAGCTAAGATTTAAAGAATTTAAATACATTCTCCAACCTTTTAAAGCCATTAAATATCAGAATTAGGGTTTGAAACCCTCCCTCCAGTCTTTATAAAGAGATGAGTGTTGTCTGTGTATGTCAGGTCTGAGTGTCACGGGAAGACGGGCTCTTTTCACTCACACACTCACTCAGCCAGTGCTCACCGAGCTCCTACCAGGGACGCGGGACTGGTCGTCAGCACCGTGCTGTTGCTTCAACCAAAGCAGGTCAGCTTCTGCCATTTTCACACCGCAACTCCCAAGAAAACCTTAAGATTTCACTTTGTAAAAAAAGAGTCCTACCGAAAAAAAATAGTTTACAAATTTTTTCTACAGGGAGTAGGGAGCAATGAGTGTTTTTTTAAGTGGAGGCAATGACATACTCAGTCTTGGATTTTAGAAAGATCCCTTCAGTAGCTGTGCAAGCAGATTATATCAGACAAGTGTGCACTTAGGGAGACCACCGAGGAGGCTGGAGCTGGGGGACTAGACCCAGGGAAGGCCCTGAGGCTGGAGTCTGGTTATTTAGCAGGAAGAATCTGCAAAGCACGGTGCCTGGGCCAGAACACTGAACATCGGCACCATGAGGCAGGGTTTGTTTATGTTCACTGCTGTATCCCCAATGCACACACTGAGTGCTTAGTAGATATTGTTGAATGGACGAGTGGGTGAACGGATGAATGGATGAATAACAAGCAGGAGTTGAGGCTAGCGCCCAGGTTTCTGACTTCAGTGGGAAACTAGGAGGAAGGGTCCATGGGAGGATTTAGGACGTGTGGGGTTCAGAGTGCCTGTGGGCAGCTGGCTGTGTAGGTCTGGAGCCAGAGAGAAGCCAGGGCTGGACATGTCTTTTCCTTCCTTCCTTCCTTCCTTCCTTCCTTCCTTCCTTCCTTCCTTCCTTCCTTCCTTCCTTCCTCTTTCTTTTCCTTCTTTCCTTCCTTTTTGTCTTTTAGGGTGGAGATGTATTTCAATGTTCCTAAAACATAATGACTGTCTTCTGAGAGGAACTCACCAAGAGTTAGCAGCCTTTCTCCCTGTAGATATCCATCTTTCCACCTCAGCAACACTTTTTGGAGCAAGGCATCCTGCCTGGGCTGGACTGGGCTGGACTGGGCTGGGCTGAGAAGGCAGGGTGGGCAAGGGATGATGTACCTCAATGTGAGTGATGGGGAAGGGCCACCCTCACCAAGCTGCCTCTTGTCCCCCTCAGAAATGCTACACTCCCCACTGCCCTGCACCATCTGCAAGCCAAGTGGGGACATTCCGGATGTCTTCATCAGCTACCGCCGGAACTCAGGCTCCCAGCTGGCCAGGTGAGGGGGAGTGGGCCGGCAGGCAGTCTCGACCTTGGGGCGAGGCCAGGGCAGTGACACAGACCTCTTCACAGCCTCCTGAAGGTGCACCTGCAGCTGCACGGCTTCAGTGTCTTCATCGATGTGGAGAAACTGGAAGCGGGCAAGTTTGAGGACAAGCTCATCCAGAGTGTCATGGGCGCCCGCAACTTCGTGCTGGTGCTGTCTGCCGGGGCACTGGACAAGTGCATGCAGGACCATGACTGCAAGGACTGGGTGCACAAGGTGGGTGCTGGCCTCCGTGGGCCCTGCGTGGGCCTGAGGTCCAGGGGGCAGGGTTCTCCTCCTGTGCCTTGTCCTCTGCACCGCCCCCCACCCCCCAGCAACCTCCACAGCCCAGCGGGAAGTCGGGAGTCACAGCTCCGAGGGCAATAGGACCCAGCTGGGCACTTAGGCTCTCTAAGCCCATTTCTCTCCTCTACAAAGTGGGGATAATTTTACTGTTTTATTGGCCTTGCAGGATTGTTGTGAGGGAGGGAGAGAGATGGAAATATTTTGAAAAATAACCTCCAAGTGGGAAGGGGGGCAGGGAGCACAGGGGCCAGCACAGTGGAAGCAGGAAAAACACAAATCTACCAGTTTGAATCCTGGCTCTGGCCTTGAGCACATTACCTCATCCCAATGAGCTTCATGTTCATTACTGTGAAGTGGATAATTATAGTGCCTATTTCCCTAGGACATTGTTATAAGGATTAAAAGAGCTAAAACTTGTGAAGGGCTTAGCAGAATTCCCGGCTCTATAGCAAGTGTTCTATAATGGTAGCAATTACTGTTATTAATATAATTTTTATAAGTACTGTTTAACACACCATTGTATCCGCAAAGCCTGCCTGACACATGGTAGAAACTTACTGAATACTTGTAGGACAGATGGATGGATGGAGCCACATCACATCTGCAGGTTATTAATTACTAATCAATGAATAGCAATTGGGGCCATGGCTGAGGGATGCAGTAGTCACCTGAGATGGGGCCCTTGTCCTAAAGCAGCTAAGGAGACAAGACTATGCCCAGAATAACAAGATAACAGGTAAGTTGGTGTCACTGCTGAGCTGGCTAAGTGAACCTCTTACTTAGCATAAGAGTGTGGAGAAGGGAGAAAACATTAAGGGCAGGTGCAATCAGGGAAGTCTTCATGGAAGAGGCGGGACTTGAGAAGGGTCTCAAGAATTTAGGTAAGTGGAAGCGAGGCATCCCTGGCAGGGGAACAGCATGAGCAAAGATCAAAAGTAGGAATGAGAAAGGTGCCAAAACCCCGCATGCCTCACTGGTGTTGCTTTCTCCATCTCACAGATGAAGAAACTGAGGCTCAGAGAAGTGGGATAATTTTTGCCACAGGCACACAGGTGTAGAGATCAGAAAAGCTGGGCCATGAGCTCCATCTTTCTGACTCCCAAGCTCATGCTCTTTCCCAGACCAGTGTTCCATGCACAGATCTGAGGGGGTGTGGGAGGTGGCGGAGCAGGGCTGGGTTCACCAGAGATGATTGTCTGCATTTGTTCTCAACTCCACGTTCAGGGATGTTATGCTGGCAGCTTAAAGTCAGCCATGGAGGCAGCATTCACACTAAGGAAATCAGTAAACACTGCTAAACCAGGGGTTGGTTGGTTTGGTTGGTGGGTTTTGTTGTTTTTCTCTCCCTGGATAGTGAGCTAAACATTTATCAGCACAACACTGGCTGGATAAGAACTATGGGACGAGGTTTCGGAGTGCCCACAGGCAGAGAAAAGGCCTGTGCTCACAGCACCGAGACACAGGGCCCCGTGGGGGCAGCGATGCCACACCAGGGGGCTTCAGGGAGAAGGCTCCACACACGACAGTGCCGTTCCGCTTGACAGTGGGAAAGAGGCTCCAGCTCCAGAGGTGGAGTTTTAGGGCCTGAGTACTGGGCGTGTTTTGAGGAGGGAGTGCTGATCCTTCAGCCTGCAGGACCACGCGTGAAGACCCAGAGTGGGTGGCAGGTGGTCTTCTGAGAGACAGAAGTGTCCGTGACAGCCCAGACCTTGCCTTATTCACACTGCGTCCCTGATGCCTAAAACCACGCACGGTACCAAGTAGGCTCGTGAATATTCTGCAGAATGATTGGATCAATGGTGGAACAGATGAATGATTCTGATGAAGCTGAGAAGACTGGGAAAACCATCGGTATCTACTAGATTTACCAGGTCAGGAAACTTGACTCTAATCCAGTTATTTTCCACCAGCTGAGCAATCTTGAATAAGCCACTTTTCCCTTTTTTTGGCCAGCCTCTGAATCTGTGCGACGAGCAGCGTGCCATCTTTGGTTCTGTGTAGTTCTGGATGAAGCAAGTGTCTAAAAGTTTTCCAATAAATTGCTGCAGGATCAGGGTTCATCCAGATTCTCAGCAGAGAGGCAGAGGGCTTGGCTGAAATAACCCAGGCCCTAGAATCTGAAGGCATGAGTCAGAGCTGGTCACCTCCTTGGCCGGCAGTGTGTGTGACTTGGGAGCAAGCCCCTCCCCTCTCTGGGCCTCTTCCTTCTCATCTGTAAAATAGAGAGGTTCCCCAGAAGTCAAGCAAGGTTGAAGTTAGGCGGTACTTTCCCCAGGAAGGCTGTGCTCAAGGGTCTCAGCAACCCCCCCTGCCCACCCCTCCCCCCCGGGTAGTCCCAGTAGACTGCAAGGAGAGAGGAGGCAGGCTGGGAGAGGGGAGCCTTTGCCTTGGGCCAGTCCCAAAGGCTCCATCATCCTTCCTTGGTTGTTTTTAGTGCTTAATTGCTTTTGGTTTTAAAACTCCTTTCCCCGAAGCCACATTTAGAGGGTGATCAATATGGAAAACCACAGTGAACTGCACTCAGGAAAATCCAATCCCTGTGATTCCCTCTTGAAAGGAAAAAAAACGTTCAATAAGCATTTGCCAGAGCACCCATTAATAGTAAGCAATATCCTCAGCACAACCCTTTGAGGCTGGCTCATGAACCTCGCTCTACAGAGGAGGAAATAACAGCACTTACTAGCTACCAAGCATGCCCCATGCACGAAGTGCAGCTCACAGTGCTTGCCACGGGGTATCGCAGCTGTTCCCCTCAGCGGTCCTATGAGACGGTGACTACCGCTCACTCTGCTTTCCACATGAGAAGACAGAGGCTCTGAGAGCCAGTTGTTTTTGCCTCAGATCACAAAGCCTGTGTCAGAGACTCGATGGGAACCCAGCTCTGACGATCCCAGTGTGCACCGCTAACTGCTGTGCCGTGTTCTCATTCACTGGTACATCCGGCCACCCATTAAGTATTCAGCAAGGGCTGACCGTGGGCATGGCTTCATTAAGGGTGCTGAGATGTAAGGTGAGTGAAAACCAGACATAATCCCTGCCCTTTTGTCTGGTGGGGAAGGCAGGTATTTAAAAAATTAGTCATTAATGAATGTAAGTTTGCAACTGTAGCATGTGCTGCAGAGGCTATGAGGGCCTATAGCAGGGGATCTGACCTGGCCAGGGAAGAGAGAGAAGCCTTCCCTGGGAAAGGCTGATGGTGCAGATCGGAAAAATGAGTAGGTATTAGCCAGGTAAAGGGGAAGGGAAGAGTGTTCCAGACAGGGAACAGCATGTGCAAAGGCCCTATGCAGGGAGGGAAGGGGGGCAAAACTAAGGGGCTGCAAGGTCTGTGAGGCTGGGGGCACAGTGCAGACGTGCAGTTTGAGAAGTGAACTGTGGCTAACTACACAGGACCCTCAGCCCACACTAAGGAGTTTGAACTTGATTCTAAGAGACATGTAAAGTCTTGAACAGTTTTAAGTAGTGAATGACATAATCACATTCTCATTTTGCAGAGTAGCTGGGTGAAGGGGCAATGAGGAGAACAAATTAGAGGGGCGAGCAGTGGGTGAGAAGAGACCTGGTGGAGGATACAGACCAGGGGGATGGACGGTTGGGGCAGGAGAGTGGTGGGTGGAGGTGGAGAAAAGTGGGTGGGTTTGAAAATAAGTCAGAGTGCGGCTGGTAGGGCTCACGGTGGACCAGTCTGGATGCAGGGGGTGTGATGCTTTCCTGCTGACACCAACTGTCTGGGCTCTTCCCCACACCAACAACCAGTTCTCCAGTTCACCAGCACTGGTGGGGCGTCCCACAGTTCAGTTCAATTCAGTTCCGATGCTAGCCACGCAGGGCAGGTGTCAGGCTCCGCAGGCGGAAGGGCCCGTGTCCCCACACCTGCCCTTACTGCAAGGTACCAGTTGAAAGTCCTGGGTTCCCAGGCTACCCTCACTTCTCTCTGACTCGGCTACAGATTCAGGGGTTCCCATGACCCTCCGCCCTGCCCAGGTTCAGTCATTTGCTAAAGTGACGTGCAGAACTCAGGAAAGCACTACACACACACACACACACACACACACACACACACACACACAGGGTCCAGCAGAAGTAGCACCTGCCTGAGTGTGGTTAGTGGGGTAATAATATGGGTGTAATAATTTATGGTTTTAGTTTGAACATTTCATCTAAAATGTTGTATGGTGTGTGTGCTTGAGTGTGATATTGTTGTTACAGAGTTACATGCTTATGGGTTTGTAATAAAGGAGGGGTGTTATTTGTGCCAGACCTGGTACATAAAGGACACAAGGGCCGGGGATGGGGGTGGGGGCTCCGTGCCTGTGTCCAGGCCGCTCCCCCAGCATCTAGATGTGTTCACCAACCACCCCCTTTTAAGGTTCTCTGTGGAGGTTTCATTTTCGTGGGCATGATTAAGTCGTTGGCCACTGGTGACCGGCCTCGTCTCCAGCCCTTCTCCCTTCCCTGGGTGTGAGAGTGTGTGTGGTGGGGGCTGGAGTTCCAGCCCTCTCGTTGGTCTTTCCTTCAGCCAGTCCCCATCCTGAAGGACCTAGGTAGCCCCCACCCCAGTCACCTAGAGATTATATGGGTTTTAGGACTCTGTGCCAAGAACCTAGGACAAAGATGGAATATTTATTTTTTAGTTAAGCCCCAAAGGGCACGGGAGAAGTCAGAGGTGGACTTTAGTTCAGCGTCCCACCAGGCCCAGCCTCAGGCCACTGTTGGCCCCCAGCGTCTGCCTCACCCGGGGGTCCCTGGCTGGTGCCCTGGTCTCTTCCTCCTCCCTTTTTTCTTTCTGCAGGAGATCGTGACTGCTTTGAGCTGCGGCAAGAACATCGTGCCCATCATCGACGGCTTCGAGTGGCCGGAGCCCCAGGCCCTGCCCGAGGATATGCAGGCCGTGCTCACCTTCAACGGCATCAAGTGAGGAGGGGGCGGATGGGTGGGCACACAGGCCCCGCAGCTGGCAGCTCCCTCTGCCCAGCCCCCCCCCACCCACCGGCCCCTGTGCCCACAGGTGGTCCCACGAGTACCAGGAGGCCACCATTGAGAAGATCATCCGCTTCCTGCAGGGCCGCTCCTCCCGGGACTCGTCTGCAGGCTCCGACACCAGTTTGGAGGGTGCTGCGCCCATGGGCCCAACTTAGCCAGCCCCTAGTTCCCAAGTCCTGCCGTGACCCCCATTTCCATTCTCTCCCTAGAAGGAGCAGCCCCTCACACCAGGCTCCCTGGGCCGAGACAGTCTGGGCCCTTCTCAGGAAATGGCTGTCCCTCTCCCAGGCCCTCACCGGCCACCTCAAACCCAGCTTCCCCAGTATCTGGACAGGGAAGGGAAGCTAGGCTTTGCGGGTGGTAAGGGTTAGACTGCCCCTAAGCCCTGCCACACGGTTCTCTGTCTCGGGTGTGGGAGGGTCACTATCAGTTCTGGAGACACTGAAGAGCGAGGGTTCGCTGCACACCACTACCCTCTGCCCTGCCCTGACGTTAGCCAGCTTCGGTAGGGGCGCAGCAGGCAGCCTCTGACAGGAATGAAGGCAATGCCCAGCCCTCTCGGCCAAGTGAGGGTCTGGGCCCGGGAACCAGCGGGGATGAGAGCTCAGTGACGGCCCCCCACCTAGACTGTGCCTGTCCCTTGGCTCACCACTTCCTGCCACCCAGGGGCCTTGCCTGCGATCACTCAGTGCACTTAGCCAGCCTGGCCTGGTCCCAAGTGCCCTCCCAGCCTTCCTGAGTACAGCCTCTTTCGCCATATCCAGGGTCAGGGCCGGGCTGCCTGCCCTCGCTCTGGCTGCTTTGTAGCCGTGGCTGGGTTTGCAGCCCTCCCTGGCGCATGGGAGCTCCTGCTTGGGTCTGGGCAGGAGGCGCCATGCCTCTAAGGGCTGCTAGTCGCCCTACCCATGCCTTGGTGCTGTGCCTCCAGCTCCCTCCCCACCTGTCCCGGCTGGCTTCCCAGCCCCCGCCAGTAGTAGCCTGGGTGGAACCTGCAGCTCCTTGGAAGAGGCAATGTCCTCAAGAAGGGCAGGGGGTGCATTCAAATCACCTGGGAATTTTGTTAAAATTCCATTCAGGAGACCTGGGGTGGGACCTGAATTTCCACATTTCTCAGATCCCCAGGTGAGCCCGTGCTGGTGGTGAAAAAAGGACACTTCACGTAGCAAGGCTCTGAAATACAAATCCCTCACACAGCTCCAGTGTGGCCCCAGCCCCCCACTCCATGCGTGGTCTCTGTAATAATCATCAGAGCAACCCTGCCCAGTATCACCCCCATTCCTGCATAGGAATCGAAGGATGTGCCGTTTTCTGTCTTGAGTGGCAGCCCAGGACCCAGCCCCAGCCTCCTGGTGCTCAGCCCACAGCTGGCGGGACTGCTGTCCTGAGAATCATCGTTGGAGGCTGTGACCAGGCTGGGCTGCTGCTCCACAGACCGCTGGCTTCTTCCTCACCCTGAAGAACTGAGAAGTGCAGTTAGGTTCTTGACCTGGGGCCACGCAGAAATAAGCGAGCAGGACCATCCCTCTGCCCCTTCCCTGAGGAGGGTAAGAAGGCCCTGGCTAACCAGCCCTGCCTCTTCCCTCCTGAGAGCAGTGGGTTCACAGCTCCAGGCTGGCTCAGTGCCCAGAGGGCCTCCTGCTCTTGGGCCACAAAGTCAGGAAGTCAACCATCTCACGCCAGGCTTGGGACTTCTTGCTTCCTCTCCCCTCCCTGCCAAAGATGCTGTTCAGCAGGTCCCAGCTTCAACTTTGGCTTTCACTGCACTTCCTCCTTCACGGCACCAGAGTGCCCACCAGCCCAGGCCCTGAATGTGACGGTGACCGAGGCAAACTGACTCATAGAGCAGAGACAGTAACAATACAGTGTGATGAATATCCTCCAGGGGAAGCTTTCTGTCTTTCTGTCCCCACTCCCTCCCGAGGTTCCCCCGCAGAGAGTACTCAGACAGCTTCCCAGGCCCGTCTTTTCTGTTTGGTGCACCTGCCACCGCCACCCCTCCAGTCTCTGGGGAGCCAGCGCTCAGCTTTTCCCCTCCGCAGCAGCTGAAGTGCTGACCCTCCCCCTAGCCAGGCCAGTGTGCTCTGGGGACTGCCTCCCCTGCGGGGACAAACCGCCCAGCTCGGCCCCTTGGCGCTCACCTTCCGCCTGGGCTTGGCCTCACAGGGCTGGTCCTGAAGCAGAGGGCCAGACATGGCCTCTCCCCCAAGCCTGCTCTGGCGGGCCTGCAGGGCCAGGGTTTCCGCTTGGCTGGACTTCAGCTGCTGCCCCCAAGCCCAGGCTGAGTCAGCTGGGGCCCTACGCCACCTCACCCCGCCCTGCCCCAGGGCCCAGGAACTACTCAGGGACACCCAAAGACCAAAAGTCCAGCTCTGCCCTAGCCGGTGTGGCTCAGTTGGTTAAAGCATTGGCCCATAAACCAAAAGATTGTAGGTTCGATTCCCAGTCGGGGCGTGTATGGCAGGCAAATGATTGATGTTTCTCCCTCACATTGATGCTTCTCTTTCTCTCTCTCCTTCTCTTTCTCTAAAAGCAATGAAAAAATGTTCTCAGGAGAGAATTAAAAAAAAAAAAAAAGAAAGAAAGAAAAGTCCAGCCCAACTCATTTGTCCTCCCCCAGGCCCATGAAGAGAGGCATCTCATTTTAGGATGTATGAGGTGGAACAGATCTCAGAACAGCATCTAACCCAGTGCTGGCCAGCCATGAGGAGACAATGTGGGACATCGCTGACCCAACCCTTCACAGAGGGGCTTGTTCAAGGTCACCCGAGCCCAAGGCGATGGCCCGAGTAGAGCCCCAGCCCAAGGCCAGCCCAGAGCCTCCTCCCTCTGCTCCCCTGCCTCGTGCTGGGCTGGTCAGTGGAGGGCCCTCTCATTGCTTCAGTCTTCCATTGAGAGGGGACAGTGAGGTGGGAATCCAGACACAGGTCCAGGCTGTGGAGACCACAGCTGACCCTGGTTTACCCTAGGCTACCCCCATGTTGCCCGAGTGATTTCCAACCAGAAAACTGGCTGGCAGGGCTGGCGACAGAATGGGGTGGTGCAGGTGGTATGGGGCTGAGCTCTCCAGCAAGTCTGCTGGGAAGAGTCAAGTACCACCTGATGTGGGTCTGCCTGCAGGCTCATGGCCCTCATCAAAGTCGATGCCTTAATACTCAACCCGATTTTGCCTTTCGACTTCAGGTCCAGGCTTTCACTATGCCCTGGAAATGCTCTCCTCATTCTCGGGGACCTGGGGCCCCTGGATCATGGGAGTCAGGCCCATCTCCAGGGTTCCATTGACTTACAGATGTACTCGGGGTGGTCTCAGCACAAGGCCCTGCTGAAATACCCGGTGATGGGAGGCATTGGAGGGCTGAGCGATAAAAACCGAGTCTGCTGGGCTGTTGCAGCCAGAAGACTAGTTCAGGTGCCTTCGGGGAGCGGATCTCTGGCTGACCCTCTGGAATGAGCGACCAGGGCTCTCTGCTTGGCTCCATGCAAGCCTGGCAGCGCTTCGCCTCCCAGCAGCTCAGAAGAGAATGGATGTCGGATGAGGTCTGGGCTGGCCACGCCCAGTACCAATCCCAGGGCAGCTCAGGGGCTTCTGCTCGGCCCCACAGCTGCCTGTGTGACCTCTGGGGGGCAGACGGGGAACAGGAAAATAGAGGTCCCACAGCCCCATGCCGTGGGTACTGGCAGATTCATACTTATACTTCCTTATACTGCTTTATTATGGTTGGTACTGCAAGGCCCAGGGGGTTGATTCCACCGAGCCAGTAGTCCTCCCACACCATTCCCACAAGCCTTCCTCCCCGCAAGGCACGCATTGTTAAGGAGCAGCTGGTGGCTGCCCACCGTGGACTGTGCACTGTGAGCTGTGGGTTCTGGGCGGAAGCAGAGATGCCAGCCCTCGAGCTTCAGCTGGCCCCAAGGCATCACCTCCGTCAGGGCGTCTCCTCCCCCCAGAGGGCTTTATGTGATTGATGGCATAAAGGGTGGACAGAGCCCCATTCCAAAGGGCTCCCCCACTGCCTGACCTGGAGTCAGACTGTCTGGGTCACAATCCTCGAGTTACAGGCTGGCACAGCTATGAGTGAGGTGGGGGCCCTGGTCTAGCTGGACCACCTTATCCAAGGTGACACTGCCTTTGAGGGGAGCCGCTGTGGGTGGGCCCGGTGCACACTTCCAGTTGGTCAGCGTTCACTTCGCTCCTCTTGCCCTCCGTCCTCAGGTCCAGGCCAATCAGGGGCTCTGGGGAAACTACTGGTATTCAGAGCGAGGATCAGCCTTTCCCAGCATCCTGTGAGAGACCAGAGAGAGGGTTTGGATTTGACACGGGGACCCTCACCTCCTGCAGAAGTGACACCGGCTGTACTGAGTGGGGTGACACAGCTATCCCCCACCCCGAGGCAGAGGGGGTAGAGTGTCCAGGGAAGAGGACTCTGGAAAGGGACTCCTAAGGCTTTGGGAAAAGAAGTCAGTGGGGCAGACTGGCCTGGGGCCCAGCCACCACCCGCCAAGGAAGCTCTCTGGGCTTCCCTTGAGCACATTTCCGTCACCATAACTCCACATATAAAATGCGAATGGAGAACAGGAGGGAGAGAACAGCCTTGCTAAGAAGCAATGTTAGCCTGACCCCTTCCCTACTGCCCTTCTGCCCTGCCCTTGGGAAATGGCTCCCAGAGGACCAGACAGCTGTCTGCAAGGGGAGAGTCAGGCTGGGGCTGAAACACCACAGGAAGGGTTCCAGGAACGAGGCAACCATTTCTGGTTGGGAGGAGAAGGAAGAGGAAACCTTTGGGATAAAGGGCGTTTGCACTGGGGTCAGAGTCCCATGTTACCAGATCAGGATGGCAGGGATGAAGAGGAGGCCAGCTCCCAGGAGGAAGGGGAACCCCTTCATGAAGTTCAGAGTGGCTGGGTAGAGCGAGTTGAAGATGCTGGAGGCCATCAGCATGGCCAAGTTGTTCATGCAGGCCACAGCAGAAAAGAGAGCACCTGTGAAGAGGGAAATATCACGCTGCGGAGTCTGGAGGCCTAGGTGCAAATCCCGGCACCACTCACTACCTCACAGCTGTGCGACCTGGGACGGGCCACTCAGTCTCCCAGAGTCTCACCTTCCTCACCTACAAACCCGACACCCTGTGCTCGGATAAGGACTCAGTGAGGTTGTGCGTGGAAAGCACCTGGCACACAGAGGCCATGAAACAAAGGGCTGTGATTAAATCCATGTATTTCAAGTACATGTGACAGCTTCTAGCAAAAGCCTGAGGAAAATGGTTTTCAGTTTATCGCCTTCAGAATCATCTCCTGTCTGAGGTCAGTTGCCGGGCTAACTCCCATTCCAACACTCAGAGCTCTGTGGTCACTGAGCAAGTCACTTCTCCTTCTGGGTCTCTGTGCCCCTTCGATTAAATAAGGATGCTACCTATTTCATAGGTTGTTGGCAACATGATATTCCCATCTATAGCCCCTGTTACAGGGCCCAGCCCCCTGGAGGGAGCCAGTTAGTAAGGGCTGTTCTCTCTCATTCCCCCTAGCACCTCTGGGTACAGTGAAAGTGCCAGGTAAAAACTCATCAGGTCAATGAACGAAAGCACACGGGCCTGAGGACAACAGAACTGGCAGTGGGCTACAAATGGCACCAGGTCCTCCTTCTAGGGCAGACGGGGAAAAGGGGGTGGGCCAGATGTTTCCAGATTGGGGTCTAAAGACCCAGAGGCCTGAGAAAAGCTATTTTTTATAGATATTCGGGCAGAACATTAAACGGTCGGACTGTCGGAGCTGGAAAGGCCTGCAGGTGTCATCAAGGGCACACTACTCATGCACAGAGGAGGACACAGGCCCGGGCGGGGGAAAGGCCCCGCCTAAGGTCGCACAGCCGGTGCAGGACAGAGCCAGGGCTAACATCCAGAGCCCAAGACCTGCTGCTCTTAAATACAAACCTGGGTTTGCATGCTAACTCCACCTCTTACTGAGTGACCTCAGGTGAGTCCATGTAGCCCTCCGGGCCTCTGCTTCCTCACTGCTCACTTGTGGACAATGAAACCTACACCACAAAGTTGTTTGCTCCCTCTGAGCTTACACGCTCCGACACTAGTGAAGCAGGGAATTCTGGAATCACCTCAGCTATTTTACAAACAGAAAAGCAGAGGTCCAGAGAGGGCAAATCCTCTTCTTTGGTTACCCCAGATGAATGGTACTGTGCTCTGCTCACTGCAGACCCCAACCCTGCAGCCCTCCACCAGCCCAGGGCAACCTGTTCAGGGACGGTGCAGCACAAGCAGCCAGAGGTAGCTGGCCGTGACACTCACCCTGCTCCGACCTGCTCACCAGCTTGGAGAGCTTGGCCCGGACAATGGGTGTGATGAGTAAGGACAGGAAGAGGAGCCCGTACCCTGTGGAGAAACAACCATCAGGAAGATGGGGTGAGGGTGAGGGCTGTCCACACTAGATGTAGTAGAGCACCTGCACACACCCCAGCTGGGACTCAGCGTAGACACAGAAAGAACTTTCATGATGGTGAAGGACACAGTGACTAAGGAGCAATGGAGCCTACGCTTCTCAAGCTTTGGCCTGCCTGCTACATCTTTTATGAATGAACACTGATTCCCCACCAGTGACGTTCTTGCCAGAACACCTCCTGTGGTCCTAGCAGGTGTCACCCACACAGCAGGGAGATGGCAGGGCACGGAAAACAAGAGGCAGCCCCGAGTTCAAAACCTGCACCATTGCTTACTAACTGTGTGGCCTTGGGCCTGACTCCCACCTTTAAAAAGATAGCAAAGCCTTCACCACAGGATGGTTCTGGGGTGTAGGAGGCTGGATAATGGCCTGGGACATAGATCCTAATCCCTGGAATCTATAAATGTTGCCTCATTTGGCAAATGGGTCTTTGCAGATGTGATCAAGTTAAGGATCTAGAGATGAGGAGATTATCCTGGACAATCAGGCTGGGCTCTAAATGATTCCTTATAAGAAGGAAGCAAAGGAAGATTTGGCACAGACAGAACAGAGGAGAAGGCAACATGACTACAGAGGCAGAGATCACGGTGATGCAGTCGGAAGCCGAGGAACCTGGCAGCCCCCGAAGCTGGAGGAGGTGAGGGCGATTCCCTTCGAGAACCTCTGACAGGAACGTGGCCCTGCTGATGCCTTGATTTTGGCCCAGAGACATAGATTCTTGACTTCCTGCCTCCAGAACTGTGAGAAAATACATTTCTGTTGTTTTAAGCCACTGAATTTGTGGTAATTTGTTACAGCAGCCCTAGAAAATGGATACATCAGAAAACACCCTGAAGAGTACCACACAGCAAGCACACACTCAAAGCAAGTTCCGTTTCACTTAGCATTTTGTCCCTGTTTCCTTCATAACCATCTCTTGCCCTTGTGTGACTGCTGCCTCCTCGGTTACACTGCAAGCCCCTAGAGCAGTGCATGCCACAAGAATTTTCAGAGCATGCACGACCTGACTGTTTAGTCAGGGGCACTGACCTCTTTCTCCTTAGGTTGTCAAGTTGAACAATGACAACAGCCAACACAATAGCTGGCCAGTGTAAATGAACCACAATTATACCTAGTTTTTTTTTTTTGTCAGATTGGCAAAAAAAGCATATTTTTTTTGGTGTGTTGCAGAATTTTAGCAATTAGTTTATGTGTGCCATGAGATGAAAAAAAAAAAGATTGAAAATCACTGCCTTAGAGGATAGTGGCTCCTCCAAAGTGGATATACAATGAGGCACCCTAGGGCCCTTCAGCTGTCACGCCCCCAAATCCCACTCTGCTGAGGCTCCCCAGAGAGGTGACAGCGTCTTTATCATCTCAGCAGCCCTGAGGGCTTTGAGCCCAGCACCGAGTCCGTGGGAGACACAGTGGGCCAGGGAGAAAGGCACCTGGTCCCCTTGGGCCTCACTGTGCAGGCAAGCAGCCAAATTAATAAATCTGTGATTACTGAATTGCTGACTTTGTACAGTTTAGAGCTTCATTAAAATAAATCTGTCCCTTTAAAAAAAAAGTTAACTTCCTCATCCCTAGCTGCCCCTCTCCCACCAAAAAAGGGAAGAAATAACGCAAGCAGGAATTTGATTGTGGTAGGAGAAGACCGGATTTTTCAAAACCAAAGAAGCTGACCAAGGATATCGGAGGTAGGTCCTATGATTATCGGAGAAGTGAGTATTAAGACACTAATAGCATGGACTTTGTCTAAGAACACCACGAATGCAGGGAGGCCAAGGAGTGAAGCAATTAGCGGATGACCCATACTTTTGCCTGCTGCTCTATCTTACTAACAATATGTATGATTGATCATGCAGATTACTTTGGCTACTGAAGTTTTATATTTTATGTATAACAAAGATGCCATTTTTATGAGCTTCTTACTTGTCTTCCTTCCAATGCAGGCTAGGAACACAATGTTTCCAAGTGCATGAACCAGCAAGTAGTTGGTCCCCAATTTTCACCCAGCACCTCTGGGACAAACTGTCCCTGAGCCCACACACATTACCTGTGAACATAAGAGGGGTGTTGGTAGCAAATGCAAAGAACACCATCCCCAGGATGTTAAAGGCTAAGCCAATCTCAGCCACCCAGGTGTCGTCCAGGCAGGTTTGCAGAAGCCGCAGGCCCAGCAGGCTGGTGAAATATGGGAGGTGCCTAGCTGCAGAACCGTAGCCTATCAGCTTGGAGTCCCAGCAGAGGGGTCTGCTCAGCTCGTAGATGGTCAGGATGTCCTGGGCCCCAAAGTGCACAGTGATCACTACGAAGATGACCAGTGAGTACAGGGCTAAATGCTTCCTGGACTTCTCCGGGGCCGGAGCCATGTAGAGCTGGACAATGGATCGATGGTGACGGAGCGTGAAGAGCCGGGCAGGTGTTGGCTCCTTCAGTGTCTCACCAAAGCAGAAAGCGGCGTAGAAAGCCATGAATATCAGCAAGGCCAAGGCCAGCCAGAAGGGGTTGGCATAACCCTGGGCGTGGAGCCAGTAGCCCCCAAGGAGGCTGGCCAACATCCCCGCCACCCCGATGCACGCTTCCAGCAGGGCCATTCGGATGGTTCGGCTGTGGTGGGAGCTGACATCTGCCACAGAGGCAAAGCCAGCAGCCAGGAGACCACTGAAGTCACCAAGGAGGGCACAAAGGATGCGGCCCAGCACGAAGAAGCCAACATGTAGCTGCAGCTGCACCACAAAGATGGACACCAGGGCCTGGACCAACAAGCCCAGCGAGGCCAGCACCAGCAGCGGGCGACGGCCCACACAGTCACTCCACGAACCCAGCAGGGTGGACGAGAAGAGCCCCACCAGGAAGCCGCCCACATTCATGTAGAGCGTCCAGTGGGAGGTAAGGGTCTCCACTTCCTGTGGGGGCATGAGTCTTACCAGGGTGTCTGTCCTCCCTCTGGGTTTACCCTCCATCTGTCCCGCGCCAAACCCCCACCACCCTGGGAGATAAGGGGATAAGGGCTTCCTTTGAAGGCTTTCGGTGCAACTCTCAAACACTGGCCCTGGAAGGGAGTTACCGGAACTGGACCTAGATCCATTCCCTTACTTTTACCCCCTTTCGTTAACTCCCAAGGCCGGAGGAACTTGCATCCCCATACTGCAGGCCTCGGTCAGGACCACCACCCAATACTCAAAACCCCCTTGGAAACCCCACCTTCACGCACGCCCCTCCCGGCAGCTGCCCCCACCCTTGGCTCAGGGCCGGCTTCCTGCTTCCGCCGCCGACGCCGCCGCTACCTGCATGGTGGGGTTCACGCTGTGGTTGCTGCAGCCACCTCTGTCGTGGGTGCCATTGTAGCCGAGGTCGGCACTGAAGCGGTACCAGAGGTACTGCGTGGTGAGCGGGCCCTGCAGGACCAAGGCGAAGTTGGCCAGGAAGATGAGCGGCTCCACCGGGCCGCGGAACAGCACTCTAGGCGCGGGGAGGACGCGGGTTTCTCCCGAGAGGCTCGCGCGCCGCTCCATGCGCGTGCACCACAGGGCAGCCGCGAGCGGGGACGACGGGGCTTTCTGCGCCTGCGCCAGGCGTCTGTTCCCTTTTTAAAGTCCAGCCGGGCGGATCCAGGGCCTCTGTCCCACTCATTCTCTCTCCGCCCTGTCTGGACAGGCGAGGGCCAGCGCCCAGCTCACAAGGTGACCTTACCTGTCAACTGTGCAGCCCTCCTGCCCAGGCTCAGAAACACTCAGACCATTAACAGGAATATCAATATTTAACATTTATTGATCGTTCACGGTGTACTGGGCACTGTACTAAACTGTGTGCTTTAATCTCCCAACAGCCCTATAGGCTAGCGGCTATGAGTGATCCCAACCTGGGGATGAGATAACAAGGACGTGGGGCCCTCAAGGCTCGAGCGAAAAAGCACATGTCTTCTGATACCCCTGCTGATATTCTGCGCTGGAACTCAGAGTAGGTCAGAGTGCACCCTCGAGCTTTATTTACTGACTCTGTTCCATTACATAGGCTCGGCTGCTATCTGGGACATGCCGCTTACCTCCCTGTGCCTCAGTTTCGTCATCTTTAACATGGAGATGCTAATAGAACTTGCCTCAAAGAGTTGCTGTGGAAGAATGGTGTCTGGTACACTGTAAGTGCTATTATTGTTACTAACAGGCTGTCACTAGCTCCGCTCCTGCCCCAGGATCTTTTCCTGGGAAATTTGTCTTGCTTTGGGCCTGCGGTCTGGCTCTGAGATGCCCTCGGAGAGGCGGAACCAGAGAAGACTGGGAGGGCCTTGGAGGCTGTTGGGGGGTGGGCCTATGTTCCTGGGAGCTCCCACTATAGGAATTGGGCCAGAAGGCAGTCAGACCTCCTGTCTGGGCCTGTTTTGTTGCCTGTAAAAGGGAACGGCATTATCTGTCTTTCTCCCTTATTTTTTCATCCATTGCATTTATTGAGTACCCTTTACGTGGTAGGGACCATGCTCAGGGACCTCTGGGAACAGAGCAGTGAAGGGAATAGACAGAGCCCTTACCAGGCCCTGTAGTTTCTAGAACAGTGAGGGAGAGACATCAAAGAACCCACTAATCCAGGAAAGATTTCAACTGCGGCAAGTGCTTTAAGGAGAGGAGCTGTGGGACTCCAAGTGTTTTTTAAAAATAAAGAAAAGAACAACTAAGACTGAGGGACATAAGGCCAAGGTCAGTCAGCTGGGAATGGGTGTGACTCGTCCCAGAATAGAGCCCACTAGACCAGAGGCCTCTACTACCTCCTTTAAAACCTAGTTATGGTCAGGTCACTGCTCTGCTCAAAACCATCCAGTGGTTTCCATTTAATCCAGTGAAAGCCAAGTCGCTAGGATGGCTCTAAGACAGTGTGCCTTCGCTCCATCCCTCCCACTCCCTTTGCTCTAGATACCCTGGCCTCCTTGCTCCCGCTCCAGCTTCTCCAGCAGTCTCCTGCCTCAGGGCCTTTGCGTCTGCTGTTCCCTCTAACTGGAATGCTCTTCTCCCAGATAGCCACCTGATGACAGGGGCTTTGTTTTCTTCACTGCTGCATCTCCACTACCTAGAAAAATGCCTGGCACATGGTAGATGTTCAGAAAGTGGTACTTGAATGAATAAATGAACCCCTCAAGGAGAAAGGATTTCCTGGCTGGAGCCCCAGAGCACAAGGAGAGGCTTGCCTGTGTGGAGCTACCCGTGGAGGCCAGAGTCCAAGAATCTAGACAAAGAAGAAAGCCGAGAGATCACATCTTTGCCTGTGTGCCCTTCTAAAAGATGAGGAAATTGAGGTCCAGAGAGAGAAGTGACTTTATCCAGGAGAAGCTAAACATTTCTGCCCTTTCAAATCCTTAAAAGAAAGAAGTGATTGAAAAATAAAACATCTGTAGATTTAACTCCATCAGAATTAGAAACCTAAATTAAAAGGTAAATAACAAACAAAATAGCCCTTTAAAATGTGACAAAGGGTAAGTATTTTACTTATATTTGACAACAACTTAAGATCTCTCCCCCATCCATCAACAACTAGATAAAAAAGCTAAACACCGAGAGGTCGAAACACAGAATCAAGTAGGAGACTCACATGTGAGCTCTTCTCCCACTTCCCAATAATAAAGGAAATACTTAATAAAGCAAATGTGCCTTTGCTTTTGTTCTTTGTGGCCAACACATTAGAAGAGATTTAGTTTTAAATGAGAATACCCAAGGCTGGTAAGGCTTGCATCAAACACAAATCGCTGAGGAAGTGCCAATGTACCTTTCAGGAAAGAGTTTGGTAGCATTGCATCAAAACCTTTAAGTTCTTGGGAAAGAAGGGGAAGGGTCAAGTCAAGGGGCATATACAAAAGACTCATGGACAAAGACGGGGGCGTTGATAGAAAGTGGCAGTTAGGGGGTGGATAAGGTAGGGGAGAGTAATGGAGGGAAAATGGGGACAACTGTAATTGAGCCACAGTAAATTTTTTTTAAAAACCCTTAAGTTCGCTAATTCCTTTGATTCTCCATCCCAGGGGAATAATCTGAATAACAGAGAAAAGCCTTATGTGCCAAGATGGTCTCCATAACATTACTGACAATAGTAAAAATAAATGCAGACCAAAGGGAGATGGTGGAGTAAATTATAATAGATCCATTCAATGGATGCTAACCATTAAAACAATATATTCAAAGAGAGTGTAATAATATAGAAAACTGCTTGTCATTACTTTTTTCATTTTTTAAAAGATTTTATTTACTTATTTTTAGAGAGAGGGGAAGGGAGGGGAAAAGAGGAACAGATGTGAGAGAGAAACATCAATTGATTGTCTCTTGTAAGTGCCCCAACCGTGCCCTGACTGGGGACTGAACTCACAATCCAGGCATGTGCCCCAACTGGGAATCAAACCCTTTGCTGTGGAGGACGATGCATATGCCCAACCAACTGAGTCACACCAATCAGGGCTATGTCATCACTTATGTGAAATAAAAAACAGAGGACTTTTATTTTTTTTTTAAGATTTTATTTATTTATTTTTAGGGAGGGAAGGGAGGGAGATAGAGAGAAACAGAGAAACATCAATGTGCAGTTGCTGGGGGTTATGGCCTGCAACCCAGGAATGTACCCTGGCTGGGAATCGAACCTGGGACACTTTGGTTCCCAGCCCGCGCTCAATCCACTGAGCTACGCCAGCCAGGAGAACTTTTATTATTCAGCCGTGAAAGAGAATGACATCCTGCCATTTATGACAACTAGAAGGTATTATGCTAAGTGAAATAACTCAAAGAAAGGCAAACACTGTATAATTTCACTTATGTGTGGAATCTAAAAAGCTAAACAAATCAACAAACAAAACAAGTAGACTCATAGATACAGAGAACAAACTGATAGTTGCTAGAGGTTTGGGTGGTGGTGGGTGGGCAAAAGGGTGATGGGGATTAAGAGGTACAAACTTATAAATAAGTCATGGGGATGTAAAGTACAGCATAGGGAATATAGTCAATAATATCGCGATAACTTTGTACAGGGACAGATGGGTAAATAGGCTTCTTGTGATCACTTCATAAGGCACAAAGGTACATAAATATCAAATCACCATGTTGTATACTTGAAACTAACGTAATATTGTATGCTAACTATATTATAATTAAAAAGAGCTTTAAATTTGAAAATGAAAAAAGCCAGAGGACTTTTTGATCATACTGCATGCTTATAGGTACAGCAAAGAATGGTACTGAGGAAAGGCTGGGAGACACTGCACCAAGTATTACCAGAGGTTCTATCTGGGTGGTGGAGTGAGATTTTTTTCTTCTTTTAAAAATAGTATTTTCAACTCTCCTAATATAAATGCTTATCTTTATCATAGAAACTATAAAAATGTTTAAAATCTGAAGATGTCTGTCTACTTGACACCTATTCTGACTCAGTTGCTAAAGACCAGTGTTCTGGAGACATCAGTCAAGGCAGACTTCATTACCAGGCACTGTGTGAGTCCCACCTTCGCTGCTCACCACAGCCTTATGATAAGGTATCCATGGTTCAGGGAGAGGCAGGGAAATGCTCCTTCCCACTTAGGGTATAGTTTTCTCCATATACCTGTTTGCTGCTCTCTGGATCCCAAGATTAGTAGTATATGTTAGTCCCTTTGCCAGGAACTCTTTTCCCACCTTGTGTGGCCTATTCAACACCTATTTAACCTTCAAGACCCACTGCTGTGTCATACTTCTAGGCAGAATTAGTCATTGTGTCATATGTCTCCACACTACTGTGTTCATACATTTAACCCCAGTTTGATATGTATCCTGATTATAAATATGTTTTTAGCCCTGGCTGGTGTGGCTCAGTGGATTGAGCACTGGCCTGCGAAGCAAAGTGTCACTGGTTCAATTCCCAGTCAGGGCACATGCGTGGGTTGTGGGCCAGGTCCCCAGTAGGGGGCGTGCGAGAGGCAACCACACATTGATGCTTCTCCCCCTCTCTCCCAACCTCCCTTCTAAAAATAAAGAAATAAAATCTTAAAAAAAAAAAAAGGACAAAACAGAATATGGTTTCACAGGTTTGTCTCCTCCCAACCCATGTCCATATCCTACCTCCAGACTTGAGGGCGGGAACCATGTTTTATTCACCTCATGTCTCCTGGCAACAGGCCTGGCATGCAATAAGATGAAATGATTTGATGGCATGCACCCACCCCAGTTAATTGATTGCAGTTTCCTGGATTGCTGCATTGAGATGAGTTATTTCTCTGGCTTGGTGGGAAGGAGTCCTGGATCTGTTGGTTATGTCTGCCATAGTCTCAGGAATGAAAAGTACTGGCATTAATGACAGTGTTGTCCAACCCTGGAATATGTGCTCAGTGAGTTTTGTTGAAAAGCTTTGAGGAAGAGCTTGGGAACTGTAATGGCTCGTTCTCTCCCAGTTGGGTAATGCCCGTGGAAGACTGCCTTCACAGCCTCTGTGAGAGAGGTGATTGCAGCATGGCTTCCTCACTCAGATGGCAGTCTTATAATAGCTTACACCCAAAGCCTGTGCTTACTTTCGGCACGTGGCCAACCACAGCTTTTAAACTGCTGACTGTGTTTTGGGATATTAAGAGGAAGGGAAGAGGCCCTGGCCAGGTAGCTCAGTTGGTTAGAGCGTCGCCTTGATTCTCCAGGTTTGCGGGTCTCTCTCCCTCTCCCTACTTCTCTCTTCCTCTCTAAAATCAACCAATATGAGGAAGGGAAGAGAGAGCATGAGGGGAAAGCCAAGTCCTGTTTTTTGTTGCTTCTGACATGCCAACTGTAAAAGTCAAAGTGGCATTCATGTCACAAGTAAGGGTGTTTGAGCCCTGAGGTGGACGCTGCAGTTATGTCTACCTTACTGCGAGACTTGAGCCCAATCTCTTTTTGGCCTCCGTTTTCTCATCTGTGAAACAATCTCCAGCCTCTGTTTCCTGGTCTGTGAAAAATGATGGAATAATGTCTACTACCCATAGGATGGGTATTAGGGTCAAATGAGAAAGTGCATGTGGCTTTGAGCTTTTTGTGGCGTGTCCAGATGCCAGAGGTGGTGGTTGCTGTTGAGCTGAATTTGAAGGTGGGAGGGATTTCACCAGAAAGAAACATCACTGTACAAGATGAGGGTCAGAGAGACACCATGTCCAAGGTGAGCCTTGGAGAGGAAGGCTGTCGGAATCCAGAGACATGCAGGACACACAATCCCTTCCTCAAGGAGCTCCCCAACCACGCGTCCCACAGGGAGAGTCCCCAGACCACTTCCTGTCTTGGGGCTCCTACCTGTGCTTTTGGTTTAAACATTTTGTCCTTTTTTTTAAAATCCTCACTCAAGTATATGTTTATTGATTTAGAAAAAGAAGAAAGGTGGATGGGGGTGGGGAGAGAAAGAAAAAAAAAACAGCTTTATGAAAGAGAAATATCTATTAGTTTTCTACCTATGCACCCCAACCAGGAATTGAACCTGCAACCTAGGTATATGCCCTGACTGGGAATCAAACATGCAACCTTTTGGTGTACAGGACAATGCTCCAACCAACTGAGCCACCCAGCCAGGGCTATGTGTTGTTCTTGACAGAGCCTTCTCATCTCTCTGGCCCTGCATCCATCCCTTCAGCCCCCGCTACTTGCCAGGCCCACTCCTAGGAGATGGGGTTGCAGACAAAAGCTTACACAATCCCTTCCTCAAGGAGTTCCTAGGCCAGGGTTACACAAACCCAAAATACAACAATAAAAGTATACAATAGCTTAAATCAGTTCAGAGTGTCCTCAAGAGGAAGTAAAAAATATTCACAGCCGAGGAGCTGAATTTTGAAGCATGAGCCGATGAAGGAGTTACCAGAAAGAAGAAATGGAGAAGGGCTTCCTGTGCCACGGGAAAGGCGGGTCCATGTAATTATCCTGTGAATAGCACAGTTCAACAGCACTGTAGTGCATGTGTTAAACTGTGTTAGCTTGTTCCATGTAAATGTTTAAAATATTCTGTAAAAACCAGTCTTGGCAAGTGTTCACTTCTACTTTACCGGGATCAAATAAGGGAAGTGGCCCAGGCCTCTTGACCTCTCCAGGAGGCCCTGCAGGAGCTCCTTGGGACTGACACGGTTTGGGAGTGACAGTGGGGGTAATATCTAGGAATTCTTGGGAAGAACATCTTTTAGTCAGGCCCTCCCTCCAGTGCCAGGCTCAGAACCCCAGCTGGGAGGGTTGGTCTGGAGCACCTGGTTTTTCTAAGGGCAGCAGGGAACTAAACACGATGGATGCTGAGGCGAGAGCCAGCAGTCTGTTCACAGGCTGTGAGGGCCACCATTCCCCGTCCCAGGGAAATAGGCAATGGAATTCCAGGTCAGAAAGGTGCTGGGTAAGCCAGGAGTCGGAGCCCAGGGAAGGGAGATGCTTCGGAGGTATTTTCTCCATGCACAATGAA